CGCTCATCCTCTTAATGCATGTCACCAAAAGTGGTTCTGCAGGACGTGGTTCTGCAGGAAGTCTCGGAGCTGAGGGCCTGCGGGTAGAACCCAGAGCACGCAGCTCTAAAAGGACCTGGGTCCGGTCTTCTCCAAGGCCGGTGGTTTCCACGGCGTCCGGAGCTCTGCCCACTCCTCCTGGGGAGGCTTCTCCAGGAAGAGAATGTGGCCGCTGCACTGGTTTTGCATCTTTAAGAGACGCTCGGAGCCCTCGCGCCTCTTCTCCGCCAACGCCAACACTCGGAGGAACTGGCCCACGCCCTGGAGAGCCGCATCTCCCGTGGAAATATTCAATAGAAGCCCAGCGAGAGGTAGGTGTGGGCGGCCCGCAGAGGCGGGGGCCAGGCGGGACCGCAGCCTCCACTTCGTGGGAAAATTCTGATGAATTTGGGAGCTCATGGTTGTTCTGGAAAATTCTGATGAATTTGGGAGCTCATGGTTGTTCTGGAAAATTCTGATGAATGTGGGAGCTCATGGCTGTTCTGGAAAATTCTGATGAATTTTGGAGCTCATGGTTGTTCTGGAAAATTCTGATGAATGTGGGAGCTCATGGCTAATCTGGAAAATTCTGATGAATGTGGGAGCTCATGGCTGTTCTGGAAAAATTCTGATGAATTTGGGAGCTCATGGCTGTTCTGGAAAAATTCTGATGAATTTGGGAGCTCATGGCTGTTCTGGAAAATTCTGATGAATGTGGGAGCTCATGGCTGTTCTGGAAAATTCTGATGAATTTGGGAGCTCATGGTTGTTCTGGAAAATTCTGATGAATGTGGGAGCTCATGGCTAATCTGGAAAATTCTGATGAATGTGGGAGCTCATGGCTGTTCTGGAAAAATTCTGATGAATTTGGGAGCTCATGGCTGTTCTGGAAAAATTCTGATGAATTTGGGAGCTCATGGCTGTTCTGGAAAATTCTGATGAATGTGGGAGCTCATGGCTGTTCTGGAAAAATTCTGATGAATGTGGGAGCTCATGGTTCTGGAAAATTCTGATGAATGTGGGAGCTCATGGTGGTTCTGGAAAATTCTGATGAATTTGGGAGCTCATGGTTGTTCTTTGATAAGGAGTTAAGGTAGAAAGGAAGCCGGTGTGCTGAAACCGGTTTGGCTCAGTGGATAGAGCGTCAGCCTACGGACTGGGGGGTCCCAGGTTCGATTCCGGTCAGGGGCATGTACATTGGTTGTGGGCACATCCCCAGTAGGGGGCATGCAGGAGGCAGCTGATCGATGTTTCTCTCATCGATGTTTCTAACTCTCTATCCCTCTCTCTTCCTCTCTGTAAAAAATCAAATATATATATATATATATATATATATATATATATATATATATATTTTTTTTTTTTTTTTTTTTTTTTTTTTTAAGAAGAAGAAGAAAAAGAAGAAGCCGGTATGTTGGCTGGTCCCGGAGGTGGTTTGAAGGTGGTGACTGGATAAGATGCTGGACGGTGGTCAGAGGCTGGAAGAAGGGGCATCGTTGGGTCTGTTTCGTCCAAACACTGTCGAAGCAAGAGACAGATCTGGGGCTGCCAAGGGCACTGCCTTTCATTACTTTTTGTTAGTCCATCTCTTATCAGCCTTTAAGGAAGAAGGGAAAGAAGGGGAGGAGGGAAGGAAAATGGAAGGAGAAGAGAGCAGGAAGGACTGCTGCCTGCCTGAGCGTTAGTGTAAAATGAAAGATATAAGGTGAAAATCTCAAAAGACTTCAGAACAAGCAATGATCGCAATGTAGTACCTTGTCTTCTTTGAAGAGTCTCCCTGGTCCCTTTTCTAATTCTGCAAGAGTTGTAGAGACCTTCATAATATATTTTCTCAGAGCCAGCCTTGCAGCTGAAAGAATAGACAGTAAGATGTACAAAAATAAGACAAAGACCAAAAAATATGCTCAACTGTTTGTAATGGACTGTTACATAGGCAGAGCTTAAAGGGACTGGGTGGAGGAGATTTTTTTTGTGTGTTTGTTTTCATTGAATTTCAAGAAAGATAACAACTCGCCGAAACCAGTTTGGCTCAGTGGATAGAGTGTCAGTTGGTCTGCGGACTGAAATGTTCCAGGTTCAATTCCGATCAAGAGCATGTACCTTGGTTGTGGGCACATGCCCGGAAAGGGGTGTGCAAGAAGCAGCTGGTCGATGTTTCTCTCTCATTGACGTTTCTAGCTCTCTATTTCTCTCCCTTCCTCTTCTCTGTAAAATATCAATAAAATATATTTTAAATAAAATAAAATAAAAGCACCTTCCAGATTCCAATTCTGACCCACACATGGAATAGAATTAATGTATATGGGCAAGCTAACTGGCTTTTTTGCTTCTAGCCCTTCACAGCTTCAAACCCATCCTTTATGTTGCAAACAGAACTAATCCCCTAAACTGGAAACCGAGGTTTACGTTTTGGCTCCACTAGTTGGGAGACCTGGAGTCAGTGGTGGTCTCACAATTTCAATACAGAGTGGAATTTAGGGAAGGGACTCATTGAAAGAGGGAACTAAGGGGTTTATCACAAAACTGCATTTGTATAATAAGCACGCTGATATTATTGAGAGAATATATTTATTTTGGGTGGCTTGGTAGAAAAAGGAGCTTATTGAAAGCATCCTATCAATGCCACCACGCCTGTCTTAGTCCATTCAGGCTGCGACAGCAAAGCACCACAGACTGGGTAACTTATAAGGAACAGAAATTTACTGCTCACAGTTCTGGTGGCTGGAAATCCAAAATGATTGTAGTCAGGTGAGAGCCCTTTTCCTTCATAGCCCCAAGGCCTTCTTAATGCATCCTCACAAGGTGGAAGGGGCTAGGGAGCTCTGTGGAGACTCTTTCAAAAGAACACTAATCCCGCCCTGACTGGTGTGTCCCAGTGGATAGAGCGTCAGCCTGCGGACTGAAGGGTCACAGGTTCGATTCCAGTCAAGAGCACGTACCTTGGTTGAGGGCACATCCCCAGTAGGGGGTGTGCAAGAGGCAGCTGATGGATGTTTCTCTCTTATCAATGTTTCTAACTCTCTATCCCTCTTCCTTCCTCTCTGTAAAAACATCAATAAAATATATATATATATTTTTTTTTTTAAAAGAACACTAATCCCATTCATGGGGCTCCACCCACATGTCCTTATTCCTGCTGGTCTCCCCCACCCCCTAAGACCATCATTTGGGCATTAGGATTTCAACATGTGAAATTCTAGGGACTCGAGCATTCAGATCACAGCAATTCCTTAACCCCTCTCACCTCAGTTTTCTCATCCATAAAATGTAAGTAATGTAATACAGACCTCACGGAGTTGTAACGATTAGACAAAATGTAGTATACTGCATACAAATATCTTGGCACAGTGCTTGGTATACAGTAAAGCACTCAATAAGTTTACCATGTCATGCTCCTCCTCAAACTCTATAAATGACTCCCTATTGGCTACTGAAGAAAATACAGGGCCTTCCAAGGTCTATCTAGCCACAAGCTATCTTAGCTTTATTCACCCAGAGAGTCTATCTATTATTTACTTCCTGTTCCCACTGTCCCCGGATGTCAACATGACTCACTCCTTCAGTTCCTCAGGCATCATCTTATCAGACAAGCCTTTCCTGATTGCCCTGGATAAAGTAACACACGCACTCACTCGTTCCTCCACTTGCGGGCCATGCCATAACCCCTGACAGCTCTACTTTGTTGTTCTCCATAGCACTCCATAGATATATTTTCTATTTTCTATGTCTCCCCACTAGAAACTCTATGAACATAAAGATTTTGTCTTGTGCCTCCTTGTATATTCATTCTGAGTTCCTAGAACAGTATTTAGCACATAGGAGGTGCTCAATAAATATGTTATATGAATGTTTACACAGAATTTCTTGCTTATTATGTTTTCTCAATGTAAGATGACTTGTCCTCCTACCAAAATTCTACTCACTCTTCAAACCTGACTTAAATACACGTCAGTGAATCTCCTAATTGTCCCAAGTAAAACTCATTGTGCTATCAGCTGTTACATGATTATAATTTGATTTAGCTCTCATTTTAGTCTACAGTATCTTGGAATTTTTATAACCTATTCTTTGCTTCTACCTCTAGATTGTAAGATCCTTAAGGGCAGGGTCTCTGTCTCGTTGTCTTGACAAATGCCATGGCCCCCTCACCATCTCATCTTTTTTTTCACATACCATGCCCATTTCCCACTCCTCACCCACTACCTAATAGTACCACATTGCTACCAAAAGGGGGGGTACTTTTTAAAAAAATATATTTTAATTGATTTTTTACAGAGAGGAAGGGAGAGATAGAGAGTTAGAAACATTGATGAGAGAGTCATCCATCAGCCGCCTCTTGCATGTCCCCTACTGGGGATATGCCTGCAACCAAGTTACATGCTCTTGACCAGAATCGAACCCGGGACCCTTCAGTCCGCAGGCTGACGCTCTATCCACTGAGCCAAACCGGTTTCGGCAGGGAAGTACTTTTTTTGCTTAACCGTTTGAAAGGAAGGATATTTCAGAGTGAAAAACAGAAGCGATAGTAGGTTGTGTAAAATGGCATGGCTACAGATATTTTTAAAGTAGATATAAAACAGCTATCCTTGAGAAGAGTTGGAAGGAATATAGTTAAATTGTTTCCATGAAACTCCATTAATATGATTATAGTTTTAATTAATTAGCTAGCAAGACATTAGTAAAGTCTTCATTTTTTTTTTTAAATAAAATTGAAGTAGCTCAAATAATTCTAGTATAAAGTAAGAAAAAGTATCCCCAGGTGACTGGCTAAGTAACACCTTTTAGTTCCAATGTGGTTATGATGTCACTGACTCTGTCCATGATTCACTCTGACTGATGATGTCACAATGATCAGCAGTCTTTATTGTGCCAAGTAGGAAGACAACCTTCAGTATTCTCATTTACTAGTGCTCAGGGCATTCCTGCTCTGTCTCTAACCAGAGTTTTGGCCATAGCTTTTTTTTGTTTGTTTTTGTTTTTTAATGTCCCAATTGAGAAAGATGTTCATTCAAGGACTACCCCTGATGTTTTTTCTGTTGTTTGTCTGCTTATTGAGGGAAAGTTCCTGCATTTGTGATGGAACTATTTGGGCTAAGGTTGGATGGGAGATACTTCCTGAAGAAATGCTGTATCTGAAAGTTGAGCCGGCTCCATCTCACTGTTTACCTTACCCTATGGACAAACTATGGTGCAATATTTTTAATTTGGATGCAATTGCGAGTCTTGTACATCTCGTGTTTGTTTTAGGACAAGCTATCTCTCTAATCCTACTTGCTTTATCTGTGCATTACCTGTGGATGAAGTGGAAGAGACATAAGAAAGAAGTAAGTTAACAATGCAAATAGTAATAGTCATAGGATATCAGAGTTTAAAAGACAAGATTACCAGCTTCTTTGAAGGAAAGTACAATGTCTTTTTCCTCTCTGCAGTCTTCCGCAGTCCCCGCCATTCACCCCCAGCATCTAGCACAGTGGCTGGCATGTAGTAGGTGCTCAACTAATGAGTATTAAATTAGAAGGTCCTTAAAATAACCTAGTACAATCCCCCCCCCCTTTCAAGTTACAAAATGCATCAAGAAAGTAATGAGCCAGGATGAGTAGAATGTAGAGGAAATGAAGTTACCTTTCTGGGCCCAGAGGTAAGTCATCTGATCCTTCTCAGCTGCCTCACCAATAAAATGAAGGATGTGGAATAAGGTATGTTAGATTCCTTCCAGGTCTGTCTAAGAAGGCTAAGTATGTGAAAGTTGGCATGTATTTTTTAAATAGACTGTAAACTAATGTGTAATGTTTGGATAACTTTCTGGGAAATGGCACTCTTTAATTTCCTACTGTGCCAATAACACCATATTCTGAGGCAATCTTAAAAGCTCATTGACTTTTACAATAAACATATTGCTATGAAATGACCCTGATGTTGCTGCCTTATACTTTGAAGATGTTTAGTGAAGGGAAATATTTTTCTAATATTCAAATAACTTCTCCCAAAAGGATGCTCTCACCATAATAAGCACCTTTTAAATGTTGTTGATGGTAATTATTATCATTGTCTTTCACAGAGGATACACGAAAGAGCATTTCTTCCGCCCTCAGACCTGTTTTCTGTAATGACCTTTCTTTCCTATCCATAAGTAATGCGTGGTGTTCCAGCATAGCTATCCAGAAAATTTCATTTGAACTACAGTAAGAAAACAACCTCTAATTTCATGTGCTTTCCCCCCTGTTAGCTGAAAAAACAAGCCTCCATAGACATAGTTAGTAATGAACCAGAAAGCCAGTCCATCAATGACATAGACCAACTGCTCTACAAACTGTTGGCCACGACGTCCATGATGAGTGAGTACCTGGACCAGAAGGCCCAGTGTCCTTCGTCTAAGAAATTCAAGCACGGAAAGCTCAAGTATAAGAACCGAGGAGGAACCAGAGGACACCAGAGACATGTGCAGGTAGTTGCGTCCAAAATGGAGACCACGCAAAGCGCCTAGGAGAGAACTCGCATGAGGTTCAGCATGGTTCTCTGTGAGCCCTTCTCATTTTTTTTTTTCTTGTCACATTCTTTACTGAAACTTTTCAAAGGAGCCCAGAGTGAAGATATTTCTATTCAGCTGAAAAGACATCCGTACTTACTAAAGTACTGGGGAAAAGATGGTCCACAGTCACTGCTTCAGATTTATGTATTTTGTTCTTTTTAATGCATCACATTACAAATCATTAATTGATCTGTAAATTAGAATCTTTAGTGTTTTAATAAATCTCTGATTTAAATATTTGTGATGTTCCTTGCTTTCCTGACCAAATGTTATGGCCACAAGAAGACTTAATTTCTCATCTCAGATGCCCTTTGCTAGAATAGTATGAAAGTATCAAGTAACAGATTAATTTTTAAAATATTTTTTTCATTTTTAGTATAATAAATGATGAATTGAGTATCAACGTGTTTTTCTTTAATTTGAGTTTTGTTGCTCAGATATCTCAATTTTTTTTTTTTTTTAACAATATGGTTACCATATCTTCCAACAAATACTGGGGCACTGATCTGAGACTAGGACAGAAAGTTTGATTACAAACATGAAAAATCCCAGAAATATATACAAGATCTAAGGCTGGGTAGAGAGAGCTCAAGGAGGGAGGGGCATCTGTAATACTGTCTCCAATAATATTTAAAAATCAATCCTTGGCCCTAGCTGGTATGGCTCAGTGGATAGAGCATTGGCCTGGGGACTGAAGGGTCCTGGTTCAATTCCAGTCAAGGGCACATGCCCAGGTTGCAGGCTCAATCAATCCCCAGTAAGGGGCCTGCAGGAAGCAGCCAATCAATGATGTTTCTATCTTCTCTCCCTCTCCCTTCCTCTCTGAAATCATTAGAACTCTTTTTTCAAGTTTATTTATGGTTCCACTTTCCAGACTTTCCTCCTTCCATGCTTCCTTAGCACAACTCTTCCCACATTCCCACAGACGTCTGTTCCATCCCTTTGGCATTTTGAACTATCAACTCAGTGCCGCTCAGAGAATGCTGATGTATTTTTCTTTTAATGGAGGACTCTTGAACACTTAAAAAGTGTTCAAACCTTGAAAATCCGAAGAAATTTTTTTCTAACAGTGGAATTTTCAGCAGTGTGGAGAGGACTCTTTGGATTAGGGAATCCTCAAGCCCTTAAACCTTTCCAGATGCCTCCTACTCTGATCACTAGGACAGGGAATGGAAGTGACATACACTTGAAAGTCTGAATTAAACAAACGTGGAATGTGGAAGAGTTTGTGTTTCTGACATTCCAGAGCTACATGCACTTGAAGCGCCAATCCTTACAATTCTATCACCGGTCTGCAAACAGAATAATAGTTGATAGTATTGGCACCTTTCATCTTCATCACTAGGAAATGATAGGTATCATTGCCCTGAGAACGTAAGGACCCAAACAAAACAGATTGATATTAGGGAGAGGAAAACAATAAAGCTCCACACACACACACACACACACACACACACACACGCCTCAAACTGTTTCTTTTCAGAAAAGTAATAGCACAATTTGTCCCTGGATTGTGTTTCTTAAGTACTAGGGGTCATTCTTCAGAAATGGGTGGGGTGTTGTGGGTTGTTGTGTGTGTTTGTTTTTTTGTTGTTTTGTGTGTGTTTTTGGTTTGTTTGTTTTGGGGGGGGAGGTTGTCCAAGGTCACATAGGTCTCAAGTGGAGATACCCCTACGTAAACTCAACAATCTGAGGCAAGAGCCCATGTACTTACGCTTTTATTACTCTGCAGCTTCCCTGTGCCAACCAGGACTTGTGTTCCAGTAAAGCAGTCTTGTCACTGTCCTTCATACATGCCACTGACTTTCACTCCCAGCTCTTAGAGTTAGCTCACGCCTGTCTCCTTCTATTGTATTTTCAAATCCCACCCGTTCTTCAAGGCCCAGCTCACCTTCCACATGCATGACTTCATGACCTCCGTCCACTTCAAAGCATGTATGATGATCTACTCTGCTGATTTTAACCCTTCATCATAGTCTCTCCGATATTATTACTGATATGTACCTAACAAATGTCCAGAGGGCAGGAACGACCTATTGTACCTACGACAATGCTCAGTGAGCATGTATTAAATGCTTGCTAAACACACAAGTCCAAATTACTGCATAAAATGAATGCCACAAACTTCATATTTACTAATTGTTCAACCAATGTTTGTATGCATGCAAATCTCTAAGCCATTATTCTACAGGGCTATGGAAATGACATAGACAAAATATTAGTATGGCTTTTTGACCTTGGATGGAAGCACGGTACACATACAACTGAACCAGTCAGCTTAATACTGGTTCAGTTGTATGTGTGTGTCCTTACCTGCCCAGTCCAGGAATTCAACGCACTCGGTCTGGGAATACCGAGCAGCCACATCTCGAGCCAGCTCTTTCCGGAAGTTCGGAGCTTCTATGTCAACATCCAGTTCCAACACGAGCACTTTCAAAGTTTCCAGACGCCCCCAGGCTGCAGCGCAGTGTAAGAGCGTATAACCTGACAGACAGCATGAAGACAGGCCAAACAGACTACACTCTTCCAGATTCATCATTGCAATAATAGTATTGAGCGGTTACCGTCTACCAACTTGCTATGTACCAAGGACTGTGATATTTATAATTCTGATTTGATGGTTACACCCTATGAGGGAAATCCACTTATTAGCCCCATTTTACAGATGAAGAGGAATACAAAATGATGAGGTAACTTGCCCCCAAGTCACACAGCAAATAGTGAAGTCTGAGTTCTTAACTACTATGCTGTACTGTATCAGCATGTGTATACACACATGCACATTCTTATTTATGTGTGTATACATTATATATGCAAAATATAAAGCAGGCACATTCTATTTATCCACCTTTAGGTAGTAATAAGTAATACTGATGAGATAAAAAAAAAAAAAAGGCAAAATACCTCTGGCTGTGTTGTCATTCAGATTCATGCCATATTTTGCCAAAACTCTAATCACTTCACTTTGCCCAGCCATGCAAGCTGCATACAACAAATTTCTTCCGACAATGTCTTCTTCCAAGAGGAGGTGTTCAGTCTGGTCATAAAGAGGGTTCTCTGGATCCTCAAAAATCTTCTGCAAACTGTCTACATCCCCTGTGAGAATGGGTTGCAAGAGAGGATTAAGAAGGCCCATCTTTACCTTCTCCTTCCCTTTCTCCTCCTCCTCCTCCTCCTCTTTATGCTCCTCGTCTTCCTCCTCTTCTCCTTCATCAAATTCTTCTTCTTCTTTCTGTGAGAAAAGTTCTGATTTTTCTGAACCCTCTGAGTCTGGGGCTTCTTCTAGATCCATTAACTCCAAAAATATTCAATACCTGAGACAAAGAGGCGGGGGGGAATAAAAATCTACTCAGACAAATTGTCATTTATTTATTGACTGATTCAGCCAGTCCACTGACAATGTAGATGGGATGAAAATTCTTAACTGGCTTAAAAGTAATTATAATATATCTCATCCATTCAATTAACAAAGTTTATTGCACACCTACCATAAGTCAATACAGTCGATGCACTGCCTGAATACATTCTAAAATGCTGAACGTGTGATATACATAGTAAATTCAAAAGGAACAGCACTATGGATAAGGACAATGGAGGGTGGGGAAAGGGCAGAGGGTGGGATGGGAACCTGGTAGAGGAGAGCAATGGGAGGGCTGAGCGGGGGAGAGGAACATTTGTAATGTTTAAAGGAACATTTAAAATTTATTTTTAAAAAATAGGAACAGCAGAGAGCAATGCAGGCTAGACTCATTGGGGAAAGATTGAAAGAGGATGTTAGAGAGAGACCCACTTCCCTAAACATGGGTCATACTGGGAAGAAGTGAAAAAATAGTTGCATCATTGGGAGCCAGATTATTAAGACCTTAAAAAAATTAGTCACTGATGTTCAGACAGAATTCAGTCTCTCAGTAATGGGTACTGAAAGCTTACTATTGAGGTAATATACTAAGTGCTATATAGGCATTACATAAATTACGAAGAAGAATCAACTTTATTTCCTGCCCTAAACAACTTAATTTTTTTTATGGGACAAAAGGCGACCTGTGCAAAATAAGTGTGATAAAAGGTGATAGATGCTAAGTACCTTATCACATGAGATGAAGTGCTATGGAAATTTACAAGGGACAAGATTAATTCCAGTTGGAAGGCTTAACAGTGCTCACGCTGGCATAATTTGTATGAAATTGGGAGTGATACAAAGGCCCCCGCATATGTGTGAGAGAGCTTGTAGCATCACTGTTCACAGAGCAAAAAGCCTGGGTGGGGCGGACAGCGCCCATTAACAGGAGCACAAACTGTGACACAGTTACACAAGAGAGTGCATAGTAGTTAAAACGACTACATTACAGGGACACTCCATGTGGTGGGCAGCTCTGACATGGTCCCAGAGCCGCTCCCCCTGCACCCTGGTATGCACGCCATGGGCGGTTCTCTCCTAGTGAGGAAGGCAGGTCATGGTGATTCTGTTCTAACGGGAAGGGATGCCACTTCCATAATGCACTTACAACAGGCAGGACTTTTGTCTCGTTGGCATTCTGTCCCTGACTCTTCTCGCGTTCTATGATGGAAAGAGACATGGGCAACCTCTCGCCCAGAGCCAGTAAGGAACCGAGGCCCTCAGTCTACCAGCCCAGAGGACCTTAAACTCACCAACCACGGAGTGAACTTGGAAGTGAACTTTGAGGTAACTGTGGCCTCAGGCAACACGCTTTTGTGAAACCGACTTACTGACTTCTTGTGGGAAAACAGCCCATCGGCTTTTCCTTTGAATTCTCAAGCGGGAGCTCTTTGGGGGCTGCTGAGGCACTAACAGTAGGCAGCCACATAGGTCATGGTCCTTGCTTTAGAGTCTAGTGGGGAAGACTCAGTGAGTCAGCGATGACCAGGATATGGGCTATAATGGAGATTAGCAAGGGGTGTTTTGAGAGTAGAGAATGGACATCTAAAGTAGACTCAGGCTTTCCAGAAGAGGTGGCCCTTCAGTTTTGAAGAGCAGGAGTCTTACTAGGGGGAGGAAAGGACAGCCTGGGCAACAGGAGTAGCATAAACAAACAGTGAGGAGGCAGTCAAGGCAGCTGAGGTGGTGGTAGTCCCTTGTCCCGGCTCTGGAAGGTCCCCAGGGCTAAAGGTCCAAAGGGGAGGCCTGAGGAAGAGGACCGTGAGTGGCAGGCCTGCAAAGAGGGGCAGAGGGGCACCAGAGTTCGCCTTTTGGCCTGAATCCCTTAGGGATCTCCCTGATCCCCGAGGCTGCCCACGAGGCGGGACCGCTCTGCAAGCACAGCTCGGGGCAGAGGCAAAGCTCCCTCCCGCCGTGGGGAGGTGCCCGTTCCCCACTCGCCCACCTCAGCCCTGGACACCCCGTGCGCACTCTCAGCTCCCGGGATCCCGGCGTCCGCGGTAACCATGGCGACGGCTGCCTCTGTACCCAGAGGTCAGAACGCGGGGTGCGAGGATGCGCGGCAGGCGAAGAGGGACGGTTAAAATCTGAATGATTAACATCGCTGTGCTTTGAAGGTGGTGTGCGGGGTTTTTATTTATTTTGTAAGTTTTCTGTCTATATTTGTTTTAGAACAAACAAACCAAAAAAAAAAAAGTAAGGTGTGCCCCATTGGTAGCTTATCTTTGGCCTTTAAATGGAAGAATTTTCCAGAAATAGGAAGATGCCACCTAAAAACGACGAAGGATAGTAATTATAATGGACAGCTTAGTCTATGGGAGAGCTTTCACCTATGGCTATGGTCACGGTCACCCAGTGGCATTTCCTGAGGCCTCATAAGTGCCAGCTATGGCAGGAGTGGAAGGAACTTAGGATCTCTCTCTCTCTCTCTCTCTCTCTCTCTCTCTCTCTCTCTCTCTCTCTCTCTCTTCAGTTATTTAAGACCCAAAGCAGATGGTTTTTTAAGGGGGAGTGGGGTGGGCAATGGGATGGGGTATCAAAAGCATGCGCCCTCTGGTCCCTCGCCTGGATTATAACTGCCTTGTGGGTTTCCCAGGCTTGCATTGTATGTCCACTCTCGCTTGCTCACTTTTTTTTGTTTAACGTTTGAATCCCTTGTTCCACAGCCTTGCATGGTAATCCTGGCATCGTGACTGCCTTTAGGATGGGCCGTCACTCTCTGTGCTTAGGAAGCCATGCTAGCGGCATGTTTGTACTGTCTCCTGAGATCTCTGCCATGGCCGTTAGGTCCCGTCTCCCAGGAGAGAGTTAAGTCTCCCCTATTCAGCTTTGTATTCTGTCCCCTTGTCCCGGCACCTTCCAAAGCCAGCCCTGTGTGTACTCCGCCAGATGTCTCCATTGTTAAGGTTCCACTCGTTCCCAGCTAGTACCCTGTCCTGGGCACAGCAGACTTGCCAATATTGAGAGTTTAATCTTCTCTGAGGCTCTGCTACTCTCATGATTAAGTCCTGGATCTGGTCCTCAGCTTACAGAAGAGGAAAGCCCCTGTATTTGTTACCTAGGAAATCCTTTGGCTTTCCTGCTCAGTGTTTGTGTGTGGGGTTTGTTTGTTTTTTTAAATATATTTTTTATTGATTTTTTACAGAAAGGAAGAGAGAGAGTTAGAAACATTGATCAGCTGCCTCCTGCACACCTCCTACTGGGGACGTGCCTGTAATTAAGGTACATTCCCTTAACTAGAATCAAACCTGGGACCTTCAGTCCACAGGCCAATGCTCTATCCACTGAGCCAAAAATGGTCAGGGCTGCTTAGCGTTTAGTAGCCAATTTATCAACCTATTTCATTAAACAGCATCACGTGAGCTTAGCAACAACCCACCCCTATTTCTTCTATATATCTCTCTGCCTGATACATTGCACCCACTGACCAGAATGTTTCCTTCCTTCAGAATATACAGTTTGCTGAGGGCAGAGCACCAAGAAATCTGGCCAAAATCACAAAACTAGTCAGTCACAGGGTTGGGATTTGAAACTATGCATGTCTAGACCCAAAAGCCATGCATTCTCCACTACAAGTTAATTAACAAAAGGTATTCTTTCTCTTTCAGAACCAACTGGACAGACCTTTGAAGATCCCGCGTGAAGAACCGTTAAAGGAAAATCTGGTTACGTTTGTGCTTAACTTGTATATTTATTAGGAAACCACCAAGTGTTTCACTGGTATTACTGAAATTGTATCCCCTACTCTACCATTCCCCCCCTAAATATATAGTAAAACTCACATGGCTACGTGCTGTGGGAAAATCGGGCGAATAACAAATTTAAAAGTTCTCCCCACCCTCAGAAGTGTTCTATTAGTACCTGGTGGTTAATATTAAGTGAAAGGGCAAGTTGACACATAGCCTTAGAATCCTGGGTAAAACTCTGGTATCTTGAAAGTTCAAGTGTGGGAACTCCCCACGGTGGAGTCTATTTCTGATGTGGCTGTGTATGCTCAGCAGTTTGCACATAGTCCGGGCCTAATAGATATATGTGGACCCCATGTGTCCCTCAATGTGCCTTCAGGAGACTCACCTGCTACAAATAAATCAAAATCCCTAGCTTTCTGTGACTAGGCCCATCTTTCTATTGCCTTCAGCTGGGGAAAACAAGGAAGCGATGTGGCTGCTTCAGCCAAAAACCTTTATGCATAGCCACAGACAACAGGGTGGTGAAGGCCTGGAGCGAAGGGGGAGAGGGGAGGTAGGGGGGGGGCCTGAAGGGGGATTATGGGGAGAAAAGGGGGACATATGTAATACTTTCAACAATACAGATTTTTTTTCTTTTTTTAACAATACAGATATTTATTTATTTATTTATTTATTCATTCGTTCGTTCATTCATTCATTCATTTAAAGGAGGCTTCCGTATTCAAATACTGCCAGTTCGGCGGTGAACTCGCCAAGTAGTCACTTTCGGGATAGAAAGAACTGGATGCAAAGGAGAGCCGCGCCGGAACCTCTGGGCGGCAGAAGCGCCTTCCGGGGGAAGGATTTGCGATGAGGACCACTTCCCGCCGCTGCACCGGGCGAGCGCCGGGGAGGAAGTAGCTCGAGGAGCGGCGTCCTGCCGGCGCTAGCGGCTGCAGAGGCGGAGGCGGAGAGGCGGCGGCGGGCGGACCGGGCGGGCGAGGCTGCGGCAAAGGGAGAGGAAAGTGTCGGAGCCGGTGAGTGAGCCGCCTTGGCGCGGAGGCCGCCCCGGGCCGCTGGGAAAACCCGCGCTTCCAAGTCGCCGAGTCCCGGGCGGGTGAGGGCCGAGCTCCTCCCGCCGCCTGTCAGTCGGCGCCGAGGAGGGGCAGCTGGGGCGCTTGGGGCACCGGACCGCACCCCAGCCGGCTGACACCCCCCCTCCGGAGCCCGGGGGCGCTGGGCTGCCTGCCTGGGGGGCTGGGGCTTCTCCGGGCAGCACCCCCAGACAAGGGCTGACATAGGGAGGGGCGCCCCGTTTAACCCCGGGGACCCAGCGAGATCGGGCCCAGGGGTGGCGGGCAGTGCTCCGGGGACAGGGGGCGGCTGGGAAGGAGAACGTTAATGTGGAGCGGCAGCTTCTCTGTGCTGTGAAAGCGGAGTCGTTTGTTTTCTAAGGCAGATGCCCCCCCTGCCCCTGCCCCTGTCCCTCCGGGACCAGCCCCTGGCTTTCGGGCCCGTTGGTAAGCCGGCCGCTCCCTGTTCTCCGTGATGGGCCGCCTGGGCAGCCGGTGAGCGCACTGGACCGTGAGGTCCGAATGCACCGCTTCCCGGCGCCGCGGGAAGAGACGAACCTGAAGATCAGACTGTTGAGCGCGCGTCCCCGCACCTCCCCTCACAACCGGTTCAGATTGAGGATAGTCATCCATCGCAAAGGTGCTAAGTAAAGGTTATGGCTGTGCATCTGCAGAAGGCCTGCAGTCTAACAGGCCGTGAAACGGTGTATCGCTGAGAAACAGTTTTTATTAAGTGACTGCTTTTCTGTTGTCTCAGGTTCGGCTTTAGCGTGTGGTGAAGGGTGCTTTTCATGGTGCATGGAAGGAAAGCCAATGCGCAGGTAGGCCTTTCACTGAAATCCACTTCGTAATAATCCGGGGCTTCATTGAAATGTTTTTAAAAGTTTACAAATCTGTTTTAAAGTTTGCAATGATTTTAAGAGCTTAACAAAAGTTTACAAACGATTCTTGTTCTAAAATAAATCAATAGTAAATATCAGAAATTAATAGCTTTTAAATAGAGTAATATGTAGAAACATTTCTAAGGAGTGCTTTGAATTTTGTGTCATTAATATGGTAATTTTTTGGGATAATCATTAAATGTACTATGATATATGGATGGATTACAGTCTTTAATCTCCTGTAGAATGTAGAGGGTTCTGTTGCCATATAAGTATAATGATTATTTATAATACACTGTACTGAATGTCTAATTATTCTAGTTATTTCATTGATATTTGGTAATGACAATTGCTCTGTTAATTAAAATAGCCTCATTGCAGGGAAGATTGAGGAGTGAAAAAGGGTATTGGACACCCCACTGGAGGGGTCAATGGTTGAGCCTCTCTACCCATGAACCAGCGATCACTGGTTCTGCACCTGGTCAGGGCACATGCCCAGGTTGCAGGCTAATCCCCAGTAGGGGCGTACAGGAGGCAGCTGATCATGATTCTCATCATTGATGTTTCTATCACTCTCTCCATTCCTGTCTCTCTAAAAATTAATAAAAATGTTTTTTAAAAAGATATTGGACATAATAACTCAGTCCGTAGAAAAGCAGAACAGTTTGAGGGGAAATGTAGACAATTATAGGTCATCCCAACCCTAAAACTCGGTAATACTTTTTCTCAATCTGTTCTAACAAGTAGGACAAGAGCCCTTATTGAAACAAAATCAGCCCAGTTCAAGTTCTTCATTTTTTTAACTAATTTTACAATACATTAATTGAACTATATTTAATTAATTAAATATAGTTCAATTAATGTAAAATTAGTTCAGAAATGAACTAATTTTAACATCAAAGATAAACAAAAGAAACATTTCATGATGGGGGTATGGCTTATAACTTAAAACTGGAAGCAAAAATCAGAATATATCCTTTTCCAGATCTGTTCCTGATTTTTTTATTGACCTTGAGCTGTTCATCTCCCTGTGCCTCAGTTTACCTCTAATGTATCTGATCAGGAGATTGAGAATAAGGAATGCTTAAAATGCTTTGAGATCTCCAGATGAAGAGATGTTATGGAAAGTAACAAATGCCATTATGTTATTTATATCTTACTCTATAGTAGCAATAATATTGGACAGGAAGCACATGAAATTAACAACACACGTACTTCATCACTTCAACACGGTTATAAAAACCACAAATTGCTTCTCATCCTCAGCTGCCATAAATTTTATATCTTATGTAATTGCTAAAATAAGAGCTTATTCTTCTTTAAAAAGAGGAGGCACGGCGTGGGAATGTTTTTTTCAGTAATTTCTATATAAAATACTCATTTGATTACACCCATTTTTTTTTCTGCCTTATTACATAATACTGCCAGTTATTTAAAGTCACTTTGGAGAATGCTTGTGCCATTGAGTTACAGCTCTTTATCACCATCACTTGGCTCAAGCCAGGGAGCGTTGCCAATTGGAATATGGGTCTGGAGCAGAAGAGCAGTTTGGGTTGGAGATTTTTTTTTTTAAATTGTGAGTCATGAGTGCGCAGAAGGTTCTAGAGGTGGTGGATGTAAATGAGGGTCAAAAGAAAAGAAGGATGCCAAAGACAGAACCCTGGGGAGCACCAGGAAATTTAAGGTGTGACCTAAGACAAAAAGCCTGTAAGGGTTCTAAAATGGGTAAGAAGCCTTAACCAGTTTGGCTCAGTGGGTAGAGCATCTGCCTTAAGGGTCCCAGGTTTGATTCCAGTCATGGGCATGTGCCTTGGTTGTGGGCATGTCCCCAGTGGGGGTGGGGGAGGGTTGCAGGAGGCAGCTGATCGATGTTTCTCTTCCATCGATGTTTCTAACTATCCCTCTCCCTTCCTCTCAGTAAAAAAAATCAATAAAATATATTAAAAAAATAAAATGGGTAAAAAGTTTTAGGTTCTTTGGGTCTTGTTTTATTTAATTGTATTGAGAGTTTCATCAATTTTCACTCACAGTGAAGATCAAACGAGTTTCTCCTTGAGTTCAACTTCAAAGGCAAAAATATATATATATATCCCATTCAGATCTCTTATTTTTAGAATTTCCTATTTATTGCAGTCAGTTGAAAATGTTTGCTTAAAAGTAGTAGTGTTTGATATATTGCTTAATCTGCATGCTCCTTGCTCAACACCTCTCCTTCCTTTTCTCTCTCCACTGTAGACTTAAGGAAATTAAATGTGCTTGATGGCTTAATCCTTGCATTTTGGGATAGCTACGTAACACAGAGCTACCAACGAGGTGTCAGCAGAGTTGCTAAGGAGAACCCGGGGAGGTTTTGCTCTCCTTACCTAGAGAGAGGTCAGTGGCTCTCACTGCCTTTGGCCCTGCCTCCTTCACCTTGCCTTGACTGCCGGGCCCAGGCACCCGTGCTGACCCTTATTTTGTCCAAGAAGCAGTGATAAGATGTCTGAGGAGGAATCATTCGTGACCTGTTTTCAGATTAAGGATTAACAGCTTGGCATTCTGGTATGGAATTAGGTATGGATGCAGTGGCTCGCAGGTGCCCTTCTAATAAGCAGAACTGGCACTTATAATAACAGGTGGTTTTTCTGTTTTAAGGATTTCCATACTCAAACCTCTAGTTCTCTTTATTCTAAGTGTGTTTGGGACTTTAAAGAGGGTCAAATCAGCTGAATCTTTTTTCTAAGCTCAGGCTGTTAATTTCCAAATTAAAGCAAACTGTTTGAAATGTAAAAGGAGAGATGCTCAGTTAGCCCTGGCCAGTGTGGCTCTGTTGGTTGAGTGTCATCCATACTGAAAGGTGGCCTGTTCAATTCCCGGTCAGGGAACATACTGGGCTGTGGGCTTCATCCCTGGTAGGGCGTGTGTAAGAAGCATGTGATGTTTCCTTTCACATTGATGCCTCCTCTCTCTCTCTCTCTCTCTCTCTCTCTCTCTCTCTCTCTCTCACTCACTCGCTGTCTTTGGTTTTTACAGAGAGAAAGGGAGAAGGAGAGAGAAAGGTTCTTAGCTTAGGAACATAATTCCAAGCTAAGGAAAGATTCTGTAGGTCTTTGAACAAAGAGGTAAAATAGATTATAAATGTTTTAGAATCAGAGACTGTTTTCTAAACTTTTTTGTGTGCTTGATTTCAACTTATCTTACCCACTTATAGAAAATGACTCTTTTCTCAATTAAGAATATTACTTTGGGATTACAAGATCTGAGGAATGTGTGACATGATAGCTCTGAAATTTGAAGTTGACTCACAATTTTGGGTGGACAGAAATTTTATTTACTTAGGGAGTTACCAGAGTTAAAACATTCCTTTGGTAAACATGAAGAATATTTAAGATGTTTGATTTGTTTTTTTGGTTTATGTTTCCAGGATGCACATGATTTGATTCTTCTCCTCACTATGATTTTAGGATATATTAATATTCATGGGAATGACACATCTATTTACCTAGCCTACACTCCCTTGGCTTCTTAAATTAAATTCTTGTGACTTTCACCTTCGCTCACTTCAACAATCCGCTTCTACTATCACTCAGGAAAACGCTCTCTGAAATCATAAGTGCTAATAATTCGTTTTCTAATTATAATCTCCTGAATGTTCATTCCATCTGTCCTTTGTCAAAATTAACATGCCATTGCCCCTTCTCATTTCACACAGTTTCAACCATTTTCTAGCCACCATTCAACTCTTTTTGTCTGCGGTATTTCAGGCATACCTATTATTAATTAGGCGTTTCTATTATGCCTAGTTCTATGCAGACATTTCTATTCTCTGATTTGGGCTGTTGATTACCAGTAGATAAAACCAGCCATGGGAGTTCATGAGTCTTTAATATCATTTGGGCCACAGCAGCTCTTCACACGGTTACCCATGTTCTCATGATCCTGCCACCATTCTGCTCACAGCCAGAAGGTGACCTGCCACCCCAGCTCCCAACTTCACAGAAAACAGGTCATTATGAACTTCCTAATTCCTGACACCTCCTTCCCCAAAATAAACGTGTCTGTTTCCATATTATCTCCCTCCCACTCCTTTCCTCTCATCTCTTACATCTAAGGTCCATCCCTCTGGTTTTGGTTCTGCGCACTTCCCCTCTTCAAGGATCTCATTCCATCATTTATTTATTCTCCTCCTCTTGCTTATATTTTTAAATTTCTCCCTCCTTTGGGTTCTTAGTGTCAGTATATAATTATTTTTCAGTTTTTGACTTCTTTAAGCAGACATAGCACTGTATCTTTTCTTTCTAAAAATGATTCATACTCGCTGTCTCTCTCTCTCTCTCTCTCTCTCTCTCTCTCTCTCTCTCTATATATATATATATATATATATATATATATATATACTTTATAATACATATATATATGTTTTATTGATTTCAGAGAGCAAGGGGAAGGGAGAGAGAGCTAGAAACATCAATGATAAGAGAGATTCATTGACTGCTTCCTATACACTCCCCCACTGAGGATCCAGCCTGCATACAACCTAGGCATGTGCTCTTGACTGGAATCGAACCTGGGACTCTTCAGTCTGCAGGCCAATGCTCTGTCCACTGAGCCAAATTGTGTAGGGCTTCACTGTCTCTTTCTTTGCCTCCATTAACTGCTGCCATTGAATACCTCAGGTTTAGGGATAGTGGAGAGGGTCATAAAGTATTTTGGACATTCATCATTTTCTCACTGGCTGTCTTCTTAGATCACAACCCACCGCCATTTTATTTATTTATTTATTTATTTATTTATTTATTTTTAAAGTATATTTTTTATTTCAGAGAGGAATGGAGAGGGAGAGAGAGAGAGAAACATCTATGATGAGAGAAAATCATTGACCAGCTGCCTCCTGCATGCCCCCCACTGGGGATCGAGCCCACAACCCAGGCATATGCCTTTGACTGAATCAAACCCGCGACCCTTCAGTCCCCAGCCATGCTCTATTCATTGAGCCAAGCCGGCCAGGACCCGCCACAATTTTAAAAGTCTCCCTTTCCTTCACCTTCCCCTTCGTTTCCCTTTCTCTTATAATTCTTCCTTTCTCCCCCCCCCTTCAAAAAAAAACAACAAAAACTTCCTCCCTTTAAAATTACTGTTACTTCATTCTACCAAACAGTTTAATTCTGTCACAATCCTTATACTAGAACCTCTGTAACAGGCTAAAAAACAAATAATAGATCTTTAGGTAGTTCAGTGTATGGCACAGCTTCACGTAAGACAGTATGATGGTGAACTAAAAGTCCTCCTAATGATATTCTATTTCCATTTCAAAACAAAACCCAAAATTCTGCAAACCAAGCACTTCTAATGGTCTTTATCATCCCATCTTGTCTTTTATAATTAAAAGGTCTAAATAAATGTTTAGAGAAAAGATTATAAATTAGCAAATGTGGAAGCAAGACCACTTATGAGATTATATTTTTAAAAGGTAAGGATAGCCGAAATTGGTTTGGCTCAGTGGATAGAGTGTCAGCCTGCGGACTGAAAGGTCCCAGGTTCGATTCTGGTCAAGGGCATGTACCTTGGTTGCAGGCACATCCCCAGTGAGGGGTGTGCAAGAGGCAGCTGATCGATGATTCTCTCTCATCGATGTTTCTAACTCTCTATTCCCCTCTCTTCCTCTCTATAAAAAAATCAATTATATATATATAAAGGTAAGGATAGCCTGAATTAGGGTGGGGCTAGTTAGACGTGTAGCGAAATGGTTGTATTTTAGGGATCATATTGAGGTAGAATGATAGGATTTGCTGATGGGTTGGGTTTCAGTGTCGAAGGGAAAGGTTCCAAGATTTCTGGCCTGAGCCAATGTAAGAATAAAATTACCACCAAAGCCGGTTTGGCTCAGTGGTAGAGCGTCGGTCTGCGGACTAAAAGGTCCCAGGTTCGATTCCGGTCAAGGGCATGTATGTTGGTTGCGGGCACATCCCTGGCAGGGGGTGTGCAAGAGGCAGCTGGTCGATGTTTCTCTTTCATTGACGTTTCTAGCTCTCTCTCTCCCCCTTTCTCGCTGTTAAAAATCAATAAAATATATTAAAAAAAAGAAAAGAAAATTACCTTTTATTGATCTGGGGAAGACTAGAGGAGAGACACCAATGAAGGAAGAGAATCAAGGAATTAGTTTTAGATACATCATTGATATACAGTAGGTCCTCAGGTTACGTAGGAGATCTGTTCTTTAGCGCGATGTACCTCGATTTTCCCTCTGAGTCGGAACCCACCTACATAAGCACCTACGTCACTCACATGGAGCGCATACACAGCAGTAATGAAGTGAAACAGTAAAAAAAAATGTGAAAGAAAGTAACAATTTCTGGCCTTTACTTGTGGTAAATAAATAATAAAAAACATAAAGCACATATGTACATATGTCAAAATGACGGAACTTTTAACTTATAAATAAATGGGAGATGGTGATGTAACCACGAAACAATGTATGTTGAGTCTGATGTAACCGGAAGACTGCCTGTAGGTGAACTTGAGTTATCCAGATAGGAGATAAAAATCCTTTGGCCATTCACACATGGGTGATGGGAACCAGGACATTAAATGAGCTTTCCCCACAAATGTGTATAGAGAGCAGAGAGGACAGACTTTGGAGAATGACCACATTCAAGAGAATTCCTTCCAAGTTTGTTAACCACGCAGTCTATAATAATATAGAAATTACTCATTATTTAAAGTGATGGTCTATACTAATATAATAATAGCACTTTTTTTTTTTTTTTTTTTTTTTTGCTATGGCATACTTTTAAAAGTAGGTATGTAGAAATTAGCTTTCATATTCTACTTAGGTAAAATAGAAAAATTGTTTATCTGATTTCAACAGTATCATCTTTATGTACAATACATAATTAAGTTTGCAACAGACATGCTTTAACGTCTACATGCAATGTCAGTATTACAACAGGAATTTTCGAACTGGTCTTGTCTTTAATGACCGGGTTTTTTAAAACCTGATTCTACCACTGTTACCCGTGTGGTTTATTCTTTCAGCTTCCACTACATACAAGGCACCAGCATGCACATGGCTAACCGCCTTCTTGATTGTTGGCGTGGGTGGTGAATTATCTAACTGCCCAGCTTTATATTCCAGCCTTTCACTTGTCAAGCATGTTCAGAACTGTTTCCGCCAGACGTCAGGAAGCATGAACCGTCTGCACTCTGGAACGCAGCTCCCTGTGGCCTGAGGCTGGAAAGATTGAATGTTTAGGTGCTTTGGAAAAACAGGTTGCCGGTGGAGAAAGGAAGAACCATGCTCGTGGTTTTTAAGTTTGTGCCTTTATAATGTAGTTATAGTTACTTACTACACTTCCTCACTTGTAAGACACACAGTTGATTTAATAACTTTTTAGAATTGTGAATATTGAATTAAAGGTACCCAAAGCTTTTCTTACTAGTTGCCAATACAGCAAGTATTTATCCATATAATTGATACCTCAGTATTCTTTAATATCACTTTTATTCTAAGTTCTCCTCTCAAAGGACTAAAGAATCCCTTGAATTATGTTTGGCCCTAAGCAGTTATCCGAAGCATCCCAGGAACACACTTGTGCTTGTGATTTTTTAAAAACTTTTTTAGAACATTGTGATTGTGTAAACTGTAAATTCTAGGCATCTTCGGGTGAAGGAAATATAGTACTATTACATATAAAGTTAATTTTTGGACCCTGGCCTATTTTCCTTCTGATCGTTTCATGCAACATTGGCTATAATTTACAGATTTTGTGCTAAACCTTAGAGCAATTTAAAATATCTCCCAATGATCATAAATAAACATTTGTGTGTGTTAGAAAAATGATAACTATCAAGATTTTGATTAAACCAGATTATGAAATTAAAGCCCATAGATCATAATTTAGAAATGTTTTTCATAATGTGTTACTATTATACTTTAGTACAGGCAGTTGAAAAAGATAGGGCCTAAACAGTCCTAGTCTGGCAACTGAGATGAAAAAAGAATTGTCCTTTATTTTATGGGAGGTCACAGTGAAAGTGCTCTGACTTGGAATTAATACTATTCATTCCTCGAAAGACTTTAAAGAAGTTTTTGAGTTCTAGGGTTCTTAGAATGGGAACTCTTTGGGGACTTAGCTCTGTCTTTTGCTTACTTATAGGTTTTCCTGTGTCTTGACTTGGGAATACTTTTGTGACAGGAGTGAGCGTCTAATAATACTGCCCCCTCTCCCCCCGCCGTTCCTGCAGGTGCACCAACATTCGACCAGGAGAGACTGGAATGGATGTGACAAGCCGCTGCACCCTTGGAGACCCCAACAAGCTGCCCGAAGGGGTTCCCCAGCCTGCCCGCATGCCCTACATCTCAGACAAGCACCCTCGACAAACCTTGGAAGTGATTAACCTCCTGCGGAAGCACCGGGAGCTCTGCGATGTGGTGCTAGTGGTGGGCGCCAAGAAGATCTATGCCCACCGGGTCATTCTGTCAGCCTGTAGCCCCTACTTCCGAGCGATGTTTACAGGAGAATTGGCGGAGAGTCGGCAGACAGAAGTAGTGATCCGAGACATAGATGAGAGGGCTATGGAACTGCTGATTGACTTTGCGTACACCTCCCAGATAACTGTGGAGGAGGGCAATGTTCAGACCCTCCTGCCAGCTGCTTGTCTCCTCCAGCTGGCAGAAATACAGGAAGCCTGCTGCGAATTCTTAAAGAGACAATTAGATCCCTCTAACTGCCTTGGTATTCGGGCTTTCGCTGACACTCATTCATGTCGTGAGTTGCTAAGGATAGCAGACAAGTTCACTCAACATAACTTTCAAGAGGTGAGTTGTACTTGGTGGTTTGAATGTCTTCATAATGTCTTTGTCAGGAGTGGGTAGGCTCACTCTGCTGACACATACACAGCTGCTTGGCTATTTACTGCTGATTCTGAATCATAATATTAAAGAAGTTGTTATAAATTCTAAACTTGGTTTTTATTTTAGAGTCCAAGTTTGTGTTTATCAGTAATAGGGTAGGACTTGATTGTGCCTAGTCATGTTATATTCATAAAAGTCAGAATACAGAATATCAATTCATAAGGAGATATGTGTCTGCTAGAAAACCTGGTATCAGTCATTTACCTGAAGCCTGTCCTTCCTGATTATATGGATTATTCAGCAGAATAAATTATATAGGTCAGAGGTTATTTGGCGAGTAATCAGAAAAAAAATGAAATTAGATATCAAAAGAATTTTTCATTAAACCTATTTTTCATTCAATATTTGTAAAGCTATGTTTCAGCCACTGGTGTTAGGAACAAAGGTTGCAGGGGTAAACGAGACCCCTGGAGTCAGTTTCCGTGGTGTATATAATCCAGCAGGGAAGGTAGCCCGTGAATGTACAGTTACACAATTACAGCAGTAGGTGCTACAAAGAACCACCCCTGGATGATTTAACAGTGTGTTACAGAATTTAACTTTGGTTCCAGAACAGCTCATGCCAAATTCTGAGACATGAAAAAGCATACTAGTTTGAAGAATGGAAAGGAATCCAGTGAGACCCAGAGAGTAAAAGAGGATGTTACATAACAATTTTACAGAAGGAACAGAGCCAGATTGCACTGGAGTTAATAGACCATGTTAAGAATTTGAAAGTTAACCATTAAAGTGTTTTGAGCAAAGGAAAGACATGGTTCATTTTGCACTTTAATATTACTCTCTGTTCCCCAGGAAAACCTCTAATGGCTCAGACTTAAAATACAAAATGAAACCATGAAAATATTAGATGACACAGATCAATTCCTTTCTAATTTTGAAGCAAAGAGGCTTAATTGACTAACCCAGAAGGCATAGAAAAAAATGTTGATAGATTTGACTGTATAAAACTAAAAAATTTCTGCATGGTAAAACAAAACAGTAAGTTAAAGACAAACTGGGGGCAAATATTTGCAAATCATATCACAGGCAATGACCTTAATATATCAAGAGCTTTTATTGGTCAGTAACCAAGATCAATAAAATGAGCAATAAAATAATAAATTTAGTTTGCACTTAAACATATGAATATCTGCTCAGGCTTGTTCATAATAACTGAAACATGAATTAAAACTATACAAAGTACGGTACTATTTTTTTGTCTACCAGATTATAAATATTTATAAGTTGGATTGCAAATCCTATTGATAAGGCCATAGGGAAAAAAGCTACATTGCTAGTGTGAGTATAAATTGATACAACTCCTTTGAAAAGAAATTTGGCAGTACCTATCAAAATTACACACTTAATTGTACACACTCGACTCGCCAATCCCATTTTTAGAAATTTGTACTACAAAGGTACTGGAGAGGGGGAATGTTTGAGGAAGTAAGATCATGGGTTCCAATTTAGGTATAATCAGTTTGATAGTAGGCTTCTGTTTATATGAGTCTGTATCTTAGGAAAGAAATTAGGCCCTAGGTGGTTTGGTTCCGTGGATAGAGCATCAGCCTGCGGACTGAAAGGTCCCGGTTCAATTTCAGACAAGCGCACATGCCCGGCTTGTGGGAGGGCGGGCAGGAGTCAGCCAGTCAATGATTCTCATCATTGATGTTTCTATCTCTCCTTTCCTCTCTAAAAATCAATAAAAATAAAAAATAAAAAGATTAGGGTTCGATTGAAATGTAGGAGTCATCAACATAGTAATTAAGTCACAGTAATTAAACTATGGCTTAATTTTTTTAAGGCCAGATATAATATAGAAGCCATAAAAGAAAAAATTGATAAATTTGATTACATAAAAATTTTAAACTTTTAGCCAGGACCGGTTTGGCTCAGTGGATAGAGCGTAGGCCTGCAGACTGAAGGGTCCCCGGTTCGATTCTGGTCAAGGGCATGTACCTTGGTTGTGAGCATATCCCCAGTAGAGGGTGTGCAAGAGGCAGCTGATCGATGATTCTCTCTCATCGATGTTTCTAACTCTCTATCCCTCTCTCTTCCTCTCTATGAAAAATCAGTAAAATATTTTTTAAAAAAAATTTTTAAACTTTTAAATAACAAAAGCACCATAAACAAGGTAAAAAAAAAAAAATCAATGCAAATGAAGTCGCCTAATTTGGAGAAAGAAGAAAAAAAGCCCTCCATTTTTCACCCATACTAAAGGATAGGTTAGCTAAAGAGCAGCTGGCAGAGGAAACTGGGAGTAAATAGAGAGAAGAGGAAAGCTAGGTGTGTGGGATTGTTTCATGGAGATAACATGTACATATTTACAAAAACTGAAGAAACAGAAAAATCTTTATCAATGAAAGAAGTTCCCATAATAGTGTGGGACTTAAAATGCAGATCTCCTGTAAACTTTTATTTGAGAAAGCAGATATTTAAAATATCTATACACACACGCGCACACGCGCGCGCACACACACACACGCACATATATATATTATTGATTTCAGGGAGAGGAAGGAAGGAAAGAGAGAAAGAATCGTCAGTGATGAGAGGAATCATTGATTGGGTATCTCCTGCACGCCCCCTACTGGGGATCAAGCTCTCAACCGTGGCATGTGCCCTGACGGAGAATCAAACCGGGACCTCCTGGCTCATAGGTTGATGCTCAACCATTGAGCCACACTGGCCAAGCAAGGCATTATTTTCTTCACCTGGTTGTTTGGTTCCAGGATAGATGTCAGTGCTAGATTTGCCCTAATGGTAGACAGTATCTTTTTCTTATTGGTGAAAAAGGAGAAGTGACATTTTAAGCATACTTTGTTTATCAAAAGTATTATTCTTACTCTTTGTCCTTAGTGCCAAACAAATATTTTCTCACACAGATTTTCATGTCTTCTTGCCATCTGATGTTTCCAGTAAGTGATATCATTTTTAATATCATTATTTAATATCATGGTGGTTCACTTATAAACTTTAATCTTGGTGATCATTGACACATAACATTTGGCTTATAATACTAAGTTGGGAAAAATTATTATGCTCTGACAAGATCCACAAAGAATGTTAAGGCACTCCACAAAGATATCTGATACCTTTCTTGTACTTTAGTAAAGAAAGCAGAGTGCAAAGGAAAGAGGAAAGTAGGATGCAATCATGGCTTAAGTTTTGCACAGGGTGAAGGCCAGCGCATTTAATTTGAAGCAAGGCCCCAGATTTGGCTCTGGCCTTTCTAGCCCCCAACATAGGGTTGCCAGATAAAATAACGGAGAATCCAGTTAATTTAATTAGTGTAAGGATGTCCTGTATTTTTATTTGCTAAATCTAACAATCCTGCCACCGAGAGTACAATGCAATCATTCTAACCACACTACCTGGCTAAGCAACCTAGCTAAAATGTAAACGTTACCTATTTCGTTTCCTGAAGTTTCTCACTCAGATGATTTGAAACTTTTTGCCATACAAATTAAAATGTTCATTAGTATTTTCTACTATAAGCATAGCTGACTTTATGGCTTGAAACTGTTTTATTTTTTTATTTATTTTTTATTTTTTAATATATTTTATTGACCCTTCACAGAGAAGAAGGGAGAGGGATAGAGAGCTAGAAACATCGATGAGAGAGAAACATCCACCAGCTGCCTCTTGCACACCCCCTACTGGGGATGTGCCAGCAGCTAAGGCACATGCCCCCAACCGGAATCAAACCCGGGACCTCTCAGTCCGCAGACCGACGCTCCATCCACTGAGCCAAACCGGTTTTGGCCAAACTGATTTATTTTGAGATGCACATTTTTTTGTAATGTACTTGGGAAAAACAATCAAATATCCAAATAGCAATGGCTTATCTCATATTCTGGGAAATATTCTGACTTTTTGATGAGCATGAAAATAACCTTGTCCCAAGAGAATACATCACCTGCATCAGAGGTCACACAGTAGGAATTGACCTCTTCACTAGATCCTTCCTGCACACATGGGCATCAAACGTAGCACGTGCACTGCGTGAGAAAACAAACCACATGGAGTGTAGCGGTTACCGTTCCCTCCCGCATTGCACCCTGCCCCTTGTACTCTGCACAGTCATGGCAAGATCTACAAGCTTTTGGGACTTATGGCTGGCATGCACAACGAGGTGATATCCTGGTCATTGCCTCTCCATTCTGACAGTTCCCTAGCCCTGGGTGATGATGAATTACTGGGGTGTGTGTAGCAATATCTGTAATGTATGCACACGTCAGGGAGATAGATAGACTGGGATAGGTAAATATAAGAGTGTGTTGGTCTTCAGAGGTTTTCCTGGGTCTGATTCTCATTATATCCATTCTTGCTTATAAAATTGCCAACACCCTCATTCTTTTTTTATACTGGCCCCTTGGTGTTTCTACTCCAACACTGCTCTGTCAATGCTAATCTTAGTCTGGAAGCTATTCTTAAGTTTTTTATATGCCTTTTATATTTCTGGAGTCATAATTTGGTATAGTTTAGTAGTTTACTTTGAATGTAAACTTTAATTTTGATACTTCATTTTAGGGGAAAAAAAGATGCATTTGTCTTAAATTATTTGAATCATAAATTATTATTTTCCCCCAAGTTTTGTGTCCCCTGTACTCTCCTTTGTATCCTTTTTTAAATTAATAAACATTTTTTAGAGCAGTTTTAGGTTTCAGCAAAATTGAGCAGAAAGTAGAGTTCCCGTACACCCCTTCTCCACACACACACACACACACACACACACACACACACACGTGTGCACACACAACCTCCCCACTATCAACATCAGAGGGTATATGTGTCACAACTGATGAACCTACATTGACATGTTATCACCAAAGTCCATAGTTTACATTAGGGTTCACTCTTGCTGTTGTACATTTTGTGCGTTTTGACAAATGTGTAATATTGTATCCACCATTGTAGTATTGTACATGATAGTTTCATTGTCCATAGTCTGCCCATCTGTTTCTTTTTTCTGCTCCACTGTTTTCAACCTCAGCTCTATTGTGGAATAGAATTTTGCTTCATAACCCTTAAGAAAAATGTTGAGGCAACAAATTAAGTATGATCACAGGTTTTTTTCTTTTATTCTTACCTTACTTTGAACAGGTGATGGAAAGTGAAGAGTTCATGTTGCTTCCAGCCAATCAACTCATTGATATCATATCTAGTGATGAGCTAAACGTTCGCAGTGAAGAACAGGTGTTCAATGCAGTGATGGCCTGGGTCAAATACAGTATCCAAGAAAGACGCCCTCAGTTACCCCAGGTATAAAGGAAATGCTTCTCTAAGTAACTGCTTTCATAATATGTATTTGACTTTTTGTTTTTTAAAGCGGGTATCACTCACTGCCCCTTATATTAGACTGTAAGAAAGACCATCTGTTTCCAAATAATCAAGGAGATATGTGTTTATCATAAACTTTCTGCTCCTTGCTTCCTCTCTATTTTGCATCAACTCTAGGTTTGAGCCACATGTGTCAAACACAAGGCCCACGGGCCAAATCCGTCCCGCCAGGCCTTGCAATGTGGCCCGCACCGCACTGTCATCACTGCACTCCGCTGCGTTTCCATCACAATGACAGTTTATGACTGTTCAGTAAACCATTCGGCCCGCGATTTAGGCTGGATTTTAGATTTTGGACCCTTCTCTGATTGAGTTCGACACCCCTAGTTTGAGCTATAAAGCCGGTCAGAACCTAAATGGTACAAAATGAACAGAACAGAGCAAGGAAGGCGACTTCCTGCTTCCTTTCCCTATGGCTTGGCAAGCCCATGCCGTTTTGAAGACTAAAGGGACAGTATGGGGCAAAAGTAGTCACTAAATGAAATGCTTGATGTTCTTGTTGTTATGACTGTAGGCTTTCGAAGTTTAATAGGATATTCTTCTAGATTTTTTATTAAAGTCAGTTAAATAAGCTAATTGTAGAAGAGCTTATAATGCTTCAAGTAGCATTCTAAAGTGATATTAGTGTGCTTTGTTTTCTGATTATTCTACTAATAATTACTAAGTTGGTGGTTAGAATAAATTGAATTTAGTTTTAGTATTTATGCCTTCTTTTCTTCTTCATTATATGCTAATTAGATCAATTGGTAAGTTGATTCTGTTAGATCCCCAAACAATTGAAATACAATAGGGGAGCGCCTATTTTCTTAAAAACCTGGCAGATGGACACTCGAGCCTTTAAGCATGTTCATTTTCTCGTAGGTGCTTCAGCATGTCCGTCTGCCTTTGCTCAGCCCCAAGTTCCTGGTGGGCACCGTGGGCTCTGATCCCCTCATCAAGAGTGATGAAGAATGCAGGTATGAATGGCCCTGTCAGGGAAAATCAGCAACCAAGAGTTCCTGTTTTCTCTTAATTTCCTTATTTCTATTACTGCCTACCTAGTGTGGTTCCTACTGCTGAAAGCAGAGTATTTAACACATTTTTATTCATGGCTGTGGTCAGGAGGAGGAGATGAAGAGGAGGGAATTGAACTTCCAGTATTTCATCCCATTAGTTTTTTAACGTATTGTGTTTTTTTGGTGTATATTTCTAAGATTTTAAACCAATCTTGAATTAGAAGAGGTAAATCTCTGCTGATACATTTCTTCTTGAGATAAATATACTATTGGTTCTGTCAAAAAGTGTGTCCAGAACATATTTTCATTCCATCATATATGCCCAATTAGGGATAGGACTGGCCTTGTTTTCTGAGACTGTGGACGAAGGTAAAAGTCTACCACACTTATGAAGTAGCTTTATAAATGCTTTTATAAAGGAAACAAAACACCTAAGTTAGAGGGCTATCTCTTTGATGTATATGAAATTTAATAAATTACATTTCCCAGTTTGACAGATTTTACGATTTAGGTTCAAATCTGAAGCCATGTGATGTTTTTAATCATTTTCTCCTACCATGGTCTGTACATAAAAATAAAAGAGCAAGTTAGTACGCAGAACTCCTTAGCCTACACTGAAGAAACATGTTCTAAAATCAGGAATTCCTGTAACAGAGGAAGGTCATGTAGATGCATTTGCACTTCTGTAATCTAAAGTCTGTCCCTTTAACAGATATTAGAGGGGCTTTAGATTTTTGTCTTTTAAATTTAAAAACAGACAAATGGCAGTTCCTCCCTACCCCCCCCCCCCCAAGATATTTCAGCACCTGCAGGAAACCCATAGGAATTATGGATGGTGAAATCTGAAGGAACAATACAAGGTGCCCCTTGTGCACAAAATAGAAATCGGATTGTACTGATTCTGATGCAGAGAGTAAAGGTGCAGTCACTCGTCAAAGAAGCCCCTTCCTGATATCCTGACGTCAGCATTACCGGCTCTGTGACCTTAGGCTGGTCCCTTTAACCTCTTTCTGCTATGGTTTCTTCATCTAAAGTCAGGACAGTAACGGCACCGATTGCATAGGCTGTGGTGGGCTCAATGAGCTAGTGCCGTACCGCACATGGCTGTAAATGCTGCTGCTGTTATCAATGGTGGGTTGGCTTGCTGAGTATCAGCTCTAAGTACTCTTTCTAGGAGCCCATGAAAACCTATTGTACTTAAAAACCAGCTGTTAGGAGATCACAGTCTCTTTTTAACGCTGAGGAAGCTAGAAAAGGCTCTTCATCGTCGGGAGAGATTTTTTGGGTTTTTGTTTGTTTTGTTTTTAAGATAAATAAACTCAGAGGAGCTTAGCAAAGCCATATATAGGAAATGCATTATTGGGTTACACCTGAGGACTAGTACAGCAGGAGAAAATTACTCTGTAACATACAATAACTAGAGAAATTAAAATATAGTATAACTTAGGAAACACTTTTAGAATTGAGAGAGGACAGAGTAACAGATGGATATGCACTAGTCAGGCACTGCGTCACGCAAAGGACTCAAGTGAAATAAGCACATGCAGAAGTAGTGTGCATTAGGATATTTTTTTAGCAGGTACAATTACTAGGTTCTTCTCATAAAATACCTTAATAGACAGGGAAAAACTCACATTTGTTCACCCTCAGTAGACTTGTTGAGAGGAAACCATTCAGACAGTACCAGATAGCAAATCAATATTAAATGATGGCACTGTGCTTCTTTTTAGCAACAATCTAATTTTTTACTTAGTTTTATTACCTTAATTAATTTAGCAAACATTTTGTGTCACGGCTGATATGCTATTAATACTTTGCCAGTATCCTGCAGAATATAATAAAATTTATGAGAAAGCAATAAGTAGGCTGGTAATCTAGTTGTAATTTTTAGTTTTCCATAAGTTATTATCGGCCCCAAGCATGTTGAGGTACATTTGCACTGAGATATGAAGTCATAATGGAAATACTAATCGGTCCACGACTCCAAGTATGACTGGCATCATTGCTCTCACGTTTGTGACGCTTTTTTTTTTTTTTTTTTTAAATATTTTATTGATTTTTTACAGAGAGGAGGAGAGTGTTATAGAGTTAGAAACATCGATGAGAGAGAAACATCGATCAGCTGCCTCTTGCATACCCGCCATTGGGGATGTGCCCGCAACCAAGGTACATGCCCTTGACCGGAATCAAACCTGGGACCTTTCCGTCCGCAGGCCGACACCCTATCCACTGAGCCAAGACAGTTTCGGCTGAGACCCTTTTTAATGTGGGCTGGCATTCAGGATTTGGTTTGATTTATGCTTGATCCCTTTGCCAACTTACCTATTCCTAAACTGTGCTGGGATTTGACTAACAGTGTTATTTAGACGCTTGAAATAAAGGCAGAATTTTCTCCACAGAGACTTGGTAGATGAGGCTAAAAACTATCTTCTGTTGCCCCAAGAACGTCCACTAATGCAAGGACCACGTACCAGACCACGGAAGCCTATCCGCTGTGGAGAAGTCCTTTTTGCAGGTTTGGATCTTAATTACGGTGACTAAACTGAACATTTTAGAGAAACTGGCAAGTGAGTAGTCCTTTGGACAGTTGTGATACCCGCTGTCATAAGAAACACATATGCTGTCATGTAACTTGAGTCTTACCTCCTGATCCAACCCTGGTATTCTCCAAAACAGTGCTCTGTTTGTATAAACCTAAAACCGCATTGCACAGGCAAAACCTTAGAGAGTCTCCAGAATAGTCTTACTTGGTAGCTAGCAATGTGTTTTTATTTGTTAAGGCTAGTTTCATGGTAAGGCTGTGTTAGATTTAAAAATAAGTGGATTAATTCCTTTTTGTTGTGTTGCTTTCATTACTGAAAATAAATGGAACTTTGTATTTGAGTCCATACATAAATAAGTAAAATTCTGAGGCGTGTTTTTTTTTTTAAAGTTTATGAATATAAAGAGCAAATTGGGAAAATTACCTAAAATCTATTTATAAATAAATAAAGCCACATTGCAGTGGATGTTTTGTTCAAATGAGTCATATGCATAAATTTATATACCAGTGTGCAAGTTGCCTCATAATTACATGAAACTGTAAAAAAATAAATAAATAAAAATTATCTTACATCAGTTATTTATATTCCTTCCTACTTTTCCTGGCTAAATGCAGCTCAAGACAACCTTACACTGTATCATTTTGCTCCTATTGTCTGCCCCTGAATTTGTTGATCCTGAGGAAGACTAGGGAGAAATTATCACCCACCCATCATGATTAAGGAAAATCAGATTTCATTTAAATCAGTATATTTAACTAATACTAAATGACACTAAGTTTTGTGTGTCCTAATTTGAATTCTGTTCTAGGATATACGCTAGGAGTTTCAATATCAGATAAAACATCTTAAAATGCAGAATAAAATCTGGCTCCAATTGTGAGGGTTACGAGTATTTGAGACAAATCAAATAGCCTGATCATTAAACCTCAGACACAATTTTATAATGGAAGTCATAAAAACCAGCTCTTTATTAGATCACATGGTTCCAAATCAAATTAATGTTACTTCATCAACTGTGTTCTTCCATCCTAAAGAAAAACACAGGCCTTTAGAAAATTAGTGCACCTAAGGAAAATATTGCTGGAAAAGGATACATAGTATTAGTTTAATACCTTGATTTATATGAAACCATAATAAAATAAAAATGTGTGCAAATTGAGATTTGAAATAAAGAAATTAATTTTAAAATCCAGCTAGAAGGTTAGAAACATTACTATTTTAGTCTAGCTCCTGAAGTTACTGAAAACCCTTAGAAAACAGTAGTTTTCAAACGTTTTGAGGTTAAGGTTCCTTAGGCTTCACTTTTTAAACTCTAGAATATAGCTCTTATTTGGATTGAAAGAATATAGAGATAGTTTGAAAGAATATCAGAAGTGCCGAAGCCGGTTTGGCTCAGTGGTAGAGCGTCGGTCTGCGGACTGAAAGGTCCCAGGTTCGATTCCGGTCGAGGGCATGTACATTGGTTGCGGGTGCATCCCCGGTAGGGGGTGTGCAAGAGGCAGCTGGTCGATGTTTCTCTCGCATCGACATTTCTAGCTCTCTCTCTCTCCCTTTCTCTCTGTTAAAAATCAATAAAATATATATATTTTTTTAAAAAGAATATCAGAAGTATCCCAAATAACCATGCTTTCAGAAAACACTTAGAGATGCTTTATGGAACTCAGTTTGAACTTGTTATGAGGTTATGAAAAATGTAACTTCTTTAAAACATTTCTTGATCTAAAATGTTATGTAGGGTGCTGGCCAGTGTGGCTCAGTTAGCTGAGCATCATCCCTTGGACTGAAAGGTTTGATTCCCAGTGGGGCATACTCAGGTTGTGGGTTGGATCTCTGAAGGGTTATGTGCCAGAGGCAACTAATGGATGTTTCTCTCTCTCTCTCTTTAAAATCAATTTTTTAAAATATTATGTTGCAAACTATAGAATTCAGTACAGATTACAGATGAAAAAGAAAGCAAAATATTTTGTAAATAAGTCATAAGAATTTTTGAATTATTTTGAAACAAGAGGACCTAGTAAAAGATCATGAGAAGAGCCACAGTCCCTCCCCCTAATAGAGTAAAAACAAAAAGAACAGGCTTCTGAATTATGGTTCTTTTGGCTCTTAATTACACATTATATTTATGTAGTGTGTGGTGCTTTAGAAAGCAGTTTCATGTATTTTGTTTCACTTTAAAGTTTTTATTTCTTATTTTACAACTAGGTCGTTTACAGGATTTTTTTCAAAGATCAGAGCTCAATAAAGGCAACAGTCAAGCTTTCTAGCTAAATTCAGTATTCTGTTATGTCACAGTATCTCCCAATCTCATTTGAATTGGTATCCTTGCCTGTCTCTGTAAAATGGACCTAATACTTATTTAGAAATGAAAGATTTTAGCAATCCCAGTGGACTAAGTAAAAGTCAACGTGTTAAGTCCAAGCACTGGTCAGTTTACAGGCTGGCAGTAAGCGGTACAGTCTGTGCTCTGGGACAGGCATTCTGACCATTTCGTTACTTCCCCAGTTGGTGGCTGGTGCAGTGGAGATGCCATTTCCAGTGTAGAACGCTATGACCCCCAGACCAATGAATGGCGAATGGTAGCTTCAATGAGCAAAAGGCGATGTGGCGTTGGGGTCAGTGTTCTTGATGACCTGTTATACGCAGTGGGAGGCCACGATGGATCGTCTTATCTAAATAGTGTTGAAAGGTAAGAAAGCTCAATGTGAAATTTTCTTCTGAACAATTCATATAGTTTCATTTGGGGTGGTCATTAGGATGCTTTAGTACTGCATCTGTGGCACCAGTTGGCAGCCTAGACCACTTAGCATGACATGCAAATCCTTTATGATCTTACCTCCACCTGCTTTTCCAAGTCTGTCTTCCCTGGCACACCAGTGTTCCCTAAACGTGCTGCTACAGACCCACTGAATTACCCGCTGGTCCTTAGACACGCTCTCCTCTTTCCTACCTCTTCCTCTGTGGGTATGCGTGCTCTTCTTCCTTCAGAAACGGTGCCTACTGAATTGTGTTATTTATGCAACAAAAGCATGTATATAAAGAATATATGTGTGGATAGATATATACCTTTTTTTAAAAAGGGAGATATGCCCACTCATCGAAAACATCATTTTAAATATATATTTTTTAAATTTTTTACAGAGAGGAAGGGAGAAAAGGGATAGTTAGAAATATCGATGAGAAACATCAATCAGCTGTCTCCTACACACCCCCTATTGGGATCAAGCCTGCAACCAAGATACATGCCCTTGACTGGAATCGAACCTGGGACCTTTCAGTCCTCGGCCTGATGCTCTCTTCACTGAGCCAAACCAGTCAGGGCTATACCTATTTTCAAGTGTTTTACTGACAAGTCTTATAGGCTATACACCAAAATGGTAAGAGACCGAAATCAAATGTAATTCAAAGGGAACTTTAGCTTTATATAACAACATCCTGAAAAAAAATTATATTCATATGTAACTTCTTTAAATAAAAATAAATTAAAAAACCATAGTCCTGGCTGGCGTAGCACAGTTGGTTGAAGCATCGTCCAGTACACCAGGAGGTGGAAGGTTCAATTTCACGTCAGGGCAGATACCAGAGTTGAGGGTTTGATCTCGGGTAGGTGTGGGTACAGAAGGCAGCCAATGTTTCTCACATCCATGTTTCTCTCTTTCCCTTCCTATCTCTCAAATATAAAAAAACACACCCATAAATCAGACTTTTATATGTCTTAGTTATTAGTCATATTTAGGGGGACGAACATATAATGTCAGTGAATGTGTAAACAAAGCCATACTTTCTTTGTGTAAGGCAAACTCTGCTCTTGATGTTCTCTGCAGATATGACCCCAAAACAAACCAGTGGAGCAGTGACGTGGCTCCTACAAGCACCTGCAGGACAAGTGTTGGCGTGGCAGTGCTTGGAGGATTTCTTTATGCTGTCGGTGGCCAGGACGGTGTATCTTGCCTCAACATTGTTGAAAGGTATTTTTTTTCCAAGTTATTTTCAGGTTTTAAAAGGCATATGGAGGGTGAGGAGAGATTAACCAAGAATTTTATATGCATACTAGAGGCCCGGTGCATGAGGGTCCCTCAGCCTGACCTGTGGGGATTGAGCCAAAACCGGCTCTCCAACATCCCTCTGGGGGGTCCCAGATTGCCAGGGAGCAGGCCAGGCTGAGGGACCCCACCAGTCCCTCACTATCACTATTGGGCTGGGGAGGGATCCAATGTGTGTTCGGCCCTTCTCACCCAGTCCTGATTGGCTGGACCCCAGCAGCAAGCTAACCTACCAGTCAGAGCGTCTGCCCCCTGGTGATCAGTCGGGTCATAGCAGCTAGTCAAAAAGTTGAGAGAACGGACACTTAGCATATTAGGCTTTTATTATGTAGATTCTATGTGTAATTCATGGACACAGTCAATAGTGCAGTGAAGGCCTAGAGGGGGGTGAAGTGGAGGGGGTCGAAGTATTGGTGAAGAAAAGGGATATCTGTAATCTTTCATCAATACAGATAAATTTAAAAAAATAAAAGGTAGATAGAGGGCTCCTTAAGAGCCAGTTGAGAACTAGCCAGAATGACCTTCCCAGACAGAGCCCACACTTTGGGTGTAGAATCAATCAAGCAGGATAAGGACAGCAGATAAAATGAAAAGAGGCCACGATACAAGTAGGATACATCTCGAGGCAACCACTGTTGTTTTTTACTGACATATGAAAAAAACTAGAAGAAAACAAAAAACTAGAGAGAGTTTCAAAGTTTAGGAAAACTCATTGCGTATAAAAATCAGAAACAGCCCTTTGTTTGGCTCAGTGGATAGAGCATTGGCCCGCCAACTAAAGGGTCCCGGGTTCAATTCCAGTCAAGGGCACATGCCCAGGTTGCAGGCTCTGTCTCCAGTGGGGGTGTGCAGGAGGCAGCCAATCAATGATTTTCTCACTTAATTGATGTTTCTCTCTCTCTCTGAAATCAATAAAAATATAGATTTAAAAAATCAGCAACAGCAAAGTATTGAGGTTAGATCCCATACAAAGTTAACATAAGAAGAAGCAGATGTTATTAACATTTCTGTAGACAATATAACACACAAGACACACATACAGAACAGATCAAAATTAATCAGCTACTTAATTCATTCCAGAATGCTATTTGAGAAGTGGTTTGTTCAAAATCCAAATCATTTTCCCCCATTAGAAATAATGTAAATTGAATTAATTTGTTCCAGACCCCCAAATGATTGATTCCCTGCTTCAACCTTTCTTATATGCAGTACATGTCTAATGTACTGTGTAATCTACAAGCAAACCCTTCTTAAACTGACCGAACCCCCCCACTAGCCTAAGGAATCACTGGCAGCAGTGGTTCCTTGGGTCTTTCAGGTCAGCGGGCTGCCTCTGCTTTTTCATGTCACTGCCTCCAAAACGGCTGTCCCTGGCTCACTGCTTTTCCTTCATTCAAATCAACATTTTTTCTCCCTGTCATTGCTTCTTTCACACTCTTAGCAACATTACCACTCTTGATGGCTTCTTTGTTTTAAAATTGTGTTAATCGTATAATTTACCAGCAACAAAAGCATTTCTTTGTTGCCTGAGAGACGCTTTTTGTCATGCTGAGGAATCAGCATGAAAAGGGTCGAACAACAACTGAATTGTTCTATGGGAAACATTTGAGAAATGAGTGGTGGTTATATTTCAAAATGTGCTAAAAGACATTAGGAAAATTATGCAAGATATGAAAACACTACATACATCAGAATTAGAAAAGCAGGGGGGGGAAAGCAAAAATGAACAACGGGACTACATCAAACTAAAAAGCTTTTTGCACAGCAAAAGAAACCATCAAAATGAAAGGGCAATTTACTGAATGGGAGAAGGTATTTGCAAATCATACATTTGACAAGGAGTCAATATTCAAAATACAGGGTGGAGCAAAAGTAGTTTTCCGTTGCTATTCCTCGCTGAGTTTCTTAGCAGTGGGTGCCTGGAATGTGGCACTTTCCCCGTTTTTTAAATTAAAGTATTATATGTGCACCATGCCCCACCCCGAACACTGGCACTCTTCTCTGAGGCTCCGGAGAAGTGGTCTCCAGAACACACGAGGGCTCATTTTGGAAGGGCCAGAAAGGCCAGACGTGGAAGTCACAGAGTGAAGGGCCATTGCTGAAACCAGTGACAAGGGAGGCAGGTTCCCTTTGCTCCCCTTGATGTCGTCCTTCCTGTGGCAGAATCTGATGGTCAGCTTGGCGAAGGACAATGTCTTTTTCAGAGCACTCGCCGTGGCATCAGAAGTCAGAGTGCAAATAGCTCATAACTGACACAGGCACTGGTCAGTTTTCTCCCGTAAAACTAGTGAAGTGTGTTAAATTCTCACTGTGCATTTGACCATCGCATGCCTATGTCTCCAGCATCTTTTGGTGATTTCACACCTTATGAAAAAGATGTCACTTACGGAAACGTGCATGTAGTCTGTGGTTTCTCTCACTGCAGGTATGATCCAAAGGAGAACAAATGGACCCGAGTGGCTTCCATGAGCACCCGAAGGCTAGGCGTGGCTGTGGCTGTGTTAGGAGGCTTCTTATATGCCGTAGGTGGCTCTGACGGGACATCCCCACTCAACACAGGTTGGTCCCTTCCAAAGTCAGCCTGCTTCCCCCAAAGCAACATGTTTTCTTAGGAGAGTCTCCCTAAAAAAGGATAAAAGTCGGATACCTGGCTGGTGTTGCTCAGTGGTTGTGTCAACCCATTAACCAGGTCAAGGTTCAATTCTGGTGAGGGCACATACCAGGGTTGTGGGCTGGACCCCCCGGAGGAGAGTGTGCAAGGAGGCAGCCAATTGATGTTTCTTTCTCATTGATGTTTCTATATCTCTATCCCTCTCCTTTCTAAGGGGGAAAAAAAAAAAAATCAGGCATACCCTGTAATTTGTTGGAAAAATTCTTTCCCCTCTAGCAGAGTGCAATTCCTAACTCCTCCTCAGCTTCCTGGGCAACCAGTCGTCTATTTTCAAAATATGTCTTTCTCCCTCCGCTGTACAAGCTGCTGGGAATTTATGATGAATAAAAGAACTGTTTTCTTAATATGACCAGTTCCCTCTCCCCAACCATTTCTCCTTAGAATACAAAAACTAAAACAAACAAAAAAAACCCTCTATATCAAAGTCTAGGAATAAATAAAAACTTATAGCTATAAATTGCTTTATGTATTAGTCCATTCTATTTAGAGATGATGAATATTTGTACCTAAAGATGTTGTCAGTGTTGCACTCAGATATATTCATTGTCAAATATCTTCTCTTTAATGGCTTAGAATGCAGTAGGAATATAAGCAGGAGTATGATAGTTGTCTAATTAAGACAATAAATTATTAGTACAAAATGGTGCTTATAGATCATAGACTCTAATGCCCCCACTTAGAGAGGGAAGCCAATGAGTTTAGAACTAAACTAGAAACCTTGACTCCAACACCTGCCCTTTCTACCCCCCGCACCTGGAAGACACCAGCCCCTGGTGAGAGCACAGCACTGCTGTCCGATGGCAAACAAGTCGTTCTCAGACAAAAACCAGGTTACTTATTGGGAACGTGTGTTATTACAGTTTCAGTGGCTGTTCAGAAAACTAGAGGTGAGAGGAAACGGTGGCTTTTCTTTTCCCTGCAGTGGAGCGCTACAATCCTCAGGAGAACAGGTGGCACACCATCGCCCCCATGGGTACCCGGAGGAAACACCTGGGCTGTGCGGTGTATCAGGACATGATCTACGCTGTGGGAGGCAGAGACGACACCACGGAGCTTAGCAGTGCGGAGAGATACAACCCCAGGACCAACCAGTGGTCTCCGGTGGTGGCCATGACATCCCGCCGTAGTGGAGTAAGTGCCCAGCTACTGAAACTTTTGAAATCCAGCACCAAGAGAGGGCAGTGCAGGACTCTGACATGTAACACATAGCACACCAGGACAGGGCAGAGGTGCAGGGCAGGCAAGACAATCCCTGTGCTTTTGTACCAGGGAAAATCTTATCCTGGTTGCTGTGGTCTCAAGTAGTTAAATACCCATCAGACCTAGAGATTTACTTTTTATGATTTAGTGTGAGGTGCATCTGACAGGCATCTCCCTGTCTTATCTACCTTCACCCATATTCACCCCGTATCTATTAGGGCTAAATATTTCTACCTAATATTCTAAGGAATTCACATGCCAGTATAAATGTTCTGGCAGAAATACGTCTGCCTTATTTATAGTACAGGCCAGACTGGGCTGACCTGTGTCATTCTAGAAAACCAGATCTGGTCAGGAGTCCGTCCATGTAGCACGACAGGTGGGAGAGCCCAGCAGTAGCTGAAGGCTCCATGACCTGAGGATAAAAGTCAATGTGGTTTGCACAAATCAGGGAGGAACACTGTGTGCGAGGCTCAGCAAGTCAAAGCATTCACATATCTGTGGCTCTTTATTACCGCTACTCAACAGCGTCCAGTTCCAGGCCTGCTGTTTTCACTGCTACATTCTGTTGATTTTATTTTCACTGTTTAGCAAATATTTACTGTGTGCGTGCTGAGAAACCAAAATTGGGTATGATAGGATTCCTCCCTCAAAGGGCTTCCAGTTTAGTGAAAGAAATGTTGGCAGCTAATGACAAAAGACAAGTCTATAGCAGTGGCCTGTGCGTTAGAGGAGAGCATGGAGGAGAGGCTTCATGCTTTGGGCCAGGGAATGTGTGCAGAGGCACGGAGATGCGAAGTGTACAGCATTTTCCGGGACTAGAAGCAATCTAGTATTCCTGCAGCATTGGTTTAAAGTTAACTTAGTGTATTAGAACAGGCAAATACCTAAAGAAATATAGCAATTTGGAGGTTCTAGTTCACTCCCAGTAAATGCTTTTTCTAAAATTTAATGTTTTGAACTCTGTAAATATCCTAATTGAATATATAATATTCTAGTTCCCGTAATTTAATAGATTTTTGTTTTTTCCTCTAACACAGACAAAAATCTATTAAATAATAAGTAAACCAAACAAATCAAGCAAACCAGAAGGTAAGGCTATAAAGAATTATCTTTTATTAAAGAGATTTATCTAGAAACCATTCTGCATTTCCCCAGAGATCAGTTTCTGTAGCAGACGCTGTGTTTCGGTCCTGTAGGTTGGCCTGGCGGTGGTGAATGGACAGCTTATGGCTGTAGGAGGCTTTGATGGCACAACATACTTGAAGACCATTGAAGTTTTTGATCCTGATGCCAATACATGGAGGTAACTTTTCAGCTGTGTTGTGAATCACCTCACTGCTGCCTCAAAAATAATGGGCTTGAGATAGCCCATGATTGTCAAAATCAGGGTGTCGGCGCACTGAATTACCTCTTGCAGTATTTTGAAGAGGGATGAAGTTACCCATGTTTGGTGGTTTAATTGCTTTAAAGTGGCCGACATCTTACAAAATTCTTCTCCGTGGTAACTGTCCAGATTTATACTTGAGAATGACAAACGAGGGGGCGGGAGTTGTCTCTCTAGGCCCATCATGTTTAGCAGAGGAAAAGGAGGCACAGAACCTTCATCTTTCAGTGCAGTTTTTTGGTGTCCAGTAAAAACAAACTGCAATTACCTTTTAAAAATATTTCATTTAAAACCAATATTTTTTCTTTGAGCTTTTAAAAAATCTTCTTAAAAAATATACTATTTTAATAGACTTTAAGTCACTTTTAGGAGGCTACATATTAAGGGTTTCATTTTCTTTAAATCTTTAATTGTCTAACAAATCCTTGCTAAGCACTTGTTTGCTCACGCATTTATTTTAAAATTTAGCAAAAGCTCTAAAGATATAAAGCTATGATTTTAAGTTTAATCACATATTTTATATTTGATTCACAAACTAACCTGATATGTTTAAGAAACACTGGCATAAGAACTTAATTCTCAAACTTAACATATTTGATATTTTAACTATATAAAAATATCAATACTGATAGTTCGATGTACCTCATACCAGCCTTTTAAGGAAAGTTTTACCCTCCACACAATTTGAGGCCTGTTTTTCAATAAATTGAGCCTCTTTGCCTAAACAGACTCTAGGGTAGGCATCTCAGTGGTCGAGGTTGCACATCAACCACAGGTTTGTCTGGACATGAGATCTGAGGCCACAGACGTCCTGAAAGGTAAGCTGACGTTTATGTTATTGCCACTGCTCCAAAAAGGGCGGTCTCATAGCCCATCCCATTGTGTTCTAAGTATACATTTTCTAATTTTGTGTCTGTAGCTACCCACCCAGATTTTTCATGTTTATAAGATTCAACTAATGAGTTTATTGAGCTATTTGTCTAGTCTTCATCTCTAAAAAAGCCAGTTTTCACAGATATTTAGGTGACATTGTTTGGATTCTGCATCTTACTCCTGGCTCTGTAAGACTAAGCCAGACTAACGACATTGTAACACTTTTTGCTTCAACCTTGTCCATTAAGTAAAGCAGCACTGAGTGTTGTAACACTTTTTGCTTCAACCTTGTCCATTAAGTAAAGCAGCACTGAGTGTTGTAGACCCTGGGAATTCAAAAGTGAACACAAAAGTGCCCTCTAGGAGCTGACATGCTAGTGAGACAGTGCCACTGCAGGGGGTGGAGGCAAGGAGGTGGCTCAGGAAGTCCTCACTGCAAAGGTAACATCTAGCAAAGCCTAGGACAGATAAGGGAGATGCAATGGCAGATTTTCATGAATAGGAGCCTTCCTCTTGGGGCATATTTCCTTCCACATACAGCTTTCTAACTTAAGTGGGAATTTGAGTAAGACATTTACTTCTGATCCTATATAAGGACTTGTTTTTCAATAACTCACTAAATAGAATCTGTTGAAAAAATAACAAAATATAGTAGTTATATATCCCCAACTTAACACATTTTCTCCTGGCTGGCGGAAGAGTTAATATTCTTTCCCACAGAAATCCTTAATTTGAAGATAATCTTGTTTACATGTCACAAAACTAGATGCTAACTCTATTTACTTAGGTCCAGTTTTCTTCCATGAAGGGTTTGTACATACAAAAGGCCCTACCTGGTTTGGCTCAGTATATAGAGTGTCGGCCTGCAGGCGAAGGGGTCCCAGGTTCTGTTCTGGTCCGGGGCACATGCCTGGGTTTCGAGCTCCATCCCCGATAGGGGTGTGCAGGAGGCAGCTGATTAATGATGCTTCTCTCATTGAGGTTCCCCCCTCTCTCAAATCAGTAAAAACAAATAATTGATGGCTAGGGAAACGGGTGGGAAAATAATACAGCCATGATGCAAAAAGTAGTAGATATAAAACAGTCCCCTATAAGTGATAGCATTTCAGTCAGCATCTAAAATAATTCTGCCACTTGCCAGTGCACACAATTCCAGCTCCTAATCTTTGGAAGCTAAAAATAATGTGATATAAAATATAGATGTTTCATTATCATCTCATTTATGGGAAAAATGTTTTTTTCCCCAGTTAGAAACCTGATTTTCTTTCTTTGCAGGTTATATGGCGGGATGAATTACCGTCGGCTGGGGGGTGGAGTAGGAGTTATTAAAATGACACATTGTGAGTCCCACATATGGTGAACGTCTAGAAGACAGCTGTGTGTGTGCTCCACTGTATTCTGGAGCGCTTTGACTTTGGAGCTTCTACAGCTCGGGAAAACACGAACAAATTTTATTCTTTGCCGGTGCCTCAACTATGGAAACACAAGTACTTCACCTTAGGATGCCATCTTTGCACAGTAATGTTCACTTCTGTGCAGAATATTTATTTTTTGTTTTAATTTATCATGCGTTTGTTTTTTTAGCTTTCCTCCCAACCAAAATAAAAAATTCAAAGCAGTGAAATTTTATTTTAAGATACTAACTTTAAAAATGCTAATAAGGGGAGAAGGGCTATGACCTAGCTATTATTTCTAGGCACTCCATCCACAATCCCACTCCAAAGATTGGAATGCGAAGTGTGTAAGTTAGCCATCTTTCTTACACTAACCCCAGAAGACTTGAAAACCTTTTTTAAAAGGAGTATTAAATCAATAAAGCCAGGACTCCAGTGGAACTTAGCATCTTGTTTTCTGCTCCATTTAGTTTTTTCTCCCCGATATTTTAGTTTCTGTAGAGCCCTACTGCGTGCCTCTACAAAACAGTATGTGATTCTCATACTGTCTTGAGAATCCCCCAATGGAATCATGTATAACACTGCATGTTTTTACTGAAAAACATTACTGACTGAAGCAACTTTCGATTTGCACATTGCTACCAAGGACCAGCAGGGAGAATGTGCTCTCCCCGGCAGGGAACTGTTGTGCAGCTTACCTTTGATGCTCAGGCCACAGAGGCTCCCCTGTCATCAGCTGCCAGGAAGGACTTCCTCAGTGACAGGATAGTACATGGGAAAGGGGTAAAGCAAGCTGAGGCATTTTATTAATATCTTGGTTCTTTTATACAGCTATATATTATTTTCCTCATTCTATAAAGTCACTGCTACTATCACATTGCACTTTTTGGAGAAAAGTTAAAAAGGAGAAAAATGCTAAAAATTTCAGTGGTTGAAATTTGTCATTGTGTTCATAGACATTTTGTGGGAAAATCTTTTAAGATTTTATCCACACAAAAGGAATAACCTTCTCTTCTCCCCTCCAAAAAAATATTTGGCAACTTTTGTGTTTACATTTAAAAATCATTTGCACCTTTACAAGGAAAAGTATTTGGTAAACAATTGTTTACGTGTATCATTATGCTTTTTTCTAGCATGTATAACTTTTTAAAATAAAGAGTACTTACCATAAAAAAAGATCGGTTAATGCTTGTGTCTTTACTGTTTAGGTATTCTGTTTCTATATCATTTATATTTCCTTTATATAAAGTTAATAAACCTAAAATAATAAGAGGATTGCTAAATGCTAGAATGTTGTTATTTAATAAAGATTTTATATAAAAAGTTTTATAACAATGTTTATATTACCTAACCACTACACTTGTTTTCTGGTATAGGACTTAGAATCATAGAATTTGGAGCTAGAAGGACTCAACATTCATCTATTCCAGACCCATTTGTTTCTTTGCTTTAAGACTGAAAACAGGCAACGATAAAACCAACATCAGAAATCAGTTGCCCAAACTCCCACTCCATTTCTGTCTGTCTCCCATTGCCCCTGCAGGCTGGCCTGAAGCAGCATACGCCAACAAACCTTTGAAAAAGTATAAAAAATATGAAATCCTTACAGTACTACATCCTTAACAGCCAGTCTTCAAGGCAAAATCGCCTATTTCTCAAGGCTCTAATATTACCCATATTGGAAGAAAAGGAGAAGACTGATAAGAACAAAATTCTAAAGGTGAGACTCCATAAATAGAGAATTCCCCAATGGGAACAATTCATATGGCTGTGATTCAAGAACAGAGACCCAGGAACTACGTTATTGGCCAGTGTTCGCTGGAGCCAGGTTTATTACAACTCTATAACTGGGCCACTGGGGTTTTTAACTGATTCCACAGAGCCTCCAGCATTTCACCCTGGCCCTGGTTCCCACGTAGTTTCTGCTCCAGTAAACACAACTCCCTGTATTCACCTGTTTGTCTCTACAGTCTTGGAGGCACCAATTTGTCCTGTGTCCTCCCCTCTCTTAGGGACTACAAAGAGTCACTGACTTCTCCATCTGTTCACCTTTTTACTTGTTGCTTAGGACAGAGTGGCAACTTACAACATTCCATATGAAACTAGAAGAGTGTAGTTTTGAGTAATCATCTTGATACAGAAAAATTAATTTCACAAGACTCAACATCCATTCATAATAAAAACCCCCTCAACAAATTAGTAATGGAGGAAGAACCTCTTTAACCTGACAGGACACCTATGAAACACCTACAGCTAGCATCACATTTAGTAGTGAAATATGCTTTCCCATTACCATCAGGAACAAGACATACTGAAGAATAGCCACAGCAATTTAGCACAAAAAAGAAATATAAAACATCCAAATTGCAATTAAAAAATAAAACCGGCTTTATTCACAAATGACACCAGTCTTGTATATAGAAAATCCTAAGGAATTCACTGAAAATACTAAAGTAAACTTCAGTGAGGCCATAGGATACAAGAGCAATACACAAAATCAATTGTATTTCTGTGCAACAGTAACAAACAGCCCCAAAGTGAAATTAACAATTCTATTCTCAACAGCATAAAATACTCAGGAATAAATTTAACAAAGTGCAATATTTGTATACTGGAAACTATAAAACTTCGTTGAAGGAAATTTTGAAAGTGGAAAAATATCCCACATTTATAGATTGGAAGACTTAATTTATGATGACAATACTCCCCAAATCTAGTTTCAACACAATCACTATCAAAATCAAAGCTATGTGTTTTACAGAAATTGACCAACAAATGCTAAAATTCTCATAAAAATGTGAAAGAACTGGAATAGCCAAAGCAGCCTTGAAAAAAGCTAGAAGTCATACTTCCTGATTTAAAAAAACAAAACCACTACAAACCTACAGTAACCAAGTCAGTGTGGTATAGGCATGAGAACTGACATATTATAAATCCATGAAATAAAGTGGAGAATCCAGAAATAAACATGTATAGCCAACTGATTTTTAAGAAAGGTGACAGAAGCCAAAACCGGTTTGGCTCAGTTGATAGAGCGTCAGCCTTCGGACTGAAAGGTCCCAGGTTCGGTTCCGGTCAAGGGCATGTACCTTGATTGCAGGCACATCCCCAGTAGGGGGTGTGCAAGAGGCAGCTAATCTATGTTTCTCTCTCATCGATGTTTCTAACTCTCTATCCCTCTCTCTTCCTCTCTGTAAAAGATAAATATATTTTTTAAAAATAAAATATATATTTCTTTTTTAAAAAGAAAGGTGACAGACAATCCAATGGGATAATAATCTTTTCTATAAATTGCGCTGGAACTAATGATATCCATATGTCAAATGAATCTGGATGCTTAACCTCGCAGCACACGTAAAACTGAACTCAAAATGAATTACAGACCTAACATTAAGAGTTAAAATTATAAGAAGACATAAAAGAGAAAACTTCAGGACTTAAGATTAAACAATGATTTCTTAGATGTGACAGCAAAAGAACAATAAAAACATTGATAAACTAGACTTAATCAACATTTAAAACTTTTTGCATTTCAAAAATAAACGAGCTCATTCTGATATTTCCAATTAAAATTTAGTAGTACAGTTTCTACTTAGCTTACCCGATTTTACAATTGTGTATCTTTTACACTATAAATCTTGGTTTCTAATGTTGTTATAATTTATATAGACCACTAACAGCGTACAGCCAAAATAGTAAACATACTAAAAATAATTCTGTGTGATTATAGCATAAACTTTATATTAGGTTCATTTGTTTTCAATTTTAAGGATTGCTTTTTAACCCTGTTTGGATCTAATTTTGTTTTATAGCTATATAAACCACTTATATGTTCCAAACTATAAATGGAATATTCAGAGAAGCCTTAACTTTCATTCCTGACTCCTCTCCCTAATTCCTTCATTTCTCCTATTAGTAACCACTTTTATTAGTTTTTGACTTGTCCCTTCCATTGTTTCTTAAACATAAGGAAATACACACACAGGTTTCCATTCCTTCCATAAAAGAGAACATACTATTCACTAACTTCTCCATAGAGTCTGTACCATTTCTAACACCCCTTTACCCATTTTCCCTCTTCCACTCTTGTCTACCTACAACTTATTCAATACCTTATAAAATATAAAGTGGATCATATTACTCTCCTGCGTAAAAACTTCAGGGGCTTCCCATTGCATTTAGGGTAAAAGCCAATTTCTTCACAGTACCTATGAAAGCTGAGATGATAGGAATCCTGCCTCTAGGTATTAGGATTAGGTTTGGTTATGAGCAAGAGACCCAAAAGCAATAGCTTAAAAAACAAGATGGAAGTTGACTTCTCTGACATGTCTGAAGGAATACCTCTCACGGCTGGTACAGGGTTCAGCTTCAAGAAGTCCTCAGGGCCCTAACAGGTTTGGCTCAGTGGTTCGAGCGTCGGCCTGCGGACTGAAGGGTCCTGGGTTCAAATCCAGTCAAGGGCACATGCCCAGGCTCATTCCCCAGTAGGGGGCATTCAGGAGGCTGAAATCAATAAAAATAGATTTTTTTTTTTTAAAGTCCTCAGGGCACAAACTCCTTCCAGGCCATGTTCCCCGGTGCTTAGGACCGGACCCTCATCCCTGTCTCCTAAAAGAGCAGGCAGAGTACCAGTCATTGCATGTCTGCCAAGCAGCCGAGTTGGAAGAAGAAAGGAGCAACGGGTGCATGCCTGCTGTGGCTTAAGGAAGAGTCCTGGAAGCTCTGCCTAACCCTTCCCTTATATGGTCAGAACTTAGAGACTTCTGAGAAAGGCTGGAAAATGTCTGTTTCTGGGAAGCCATGTGCCCAGCCAAAGGCTGGGCGTCATAACACTCCTCTCCTCTTCCTCACTGTGCTCCAGCCGTACATCCCCCTTGTTCCTCAAACTGAGCCCTGACCTGTCCCAAGGCCTTCGCTCCTGCAAGTGTCACCTGCCTAGCATGCTCGTCCTCAGATCTTCACGTGGCTGGCTCCTGCTCCTCACTCAGGACTCAGCTCCCATCACTTCCTCAGAGAGCCCTTCTTTGACATCGTAAGTAAAGTAGGCCCATCCCACTCACCCTTTTCTCACCTCACTGCCTTATTTTCTCTATAGTGTTTTATCTCCATATGAAATTAAAATTTCCACAGGGTAGGGATCTTTTTTGTCTTTACTACTATATTCCTATTACCCAATACAATTCTAAGTATATAGTAGGAGCTTAATATTAGTTGAATGAAAGAATGTGTGACTCCAAAGTCCATGCTTTTCTTACCACCTCTCCTGTTCCCAATATAAAACATTACCACACTCCAGAACTTGTGTGTGTTTTTTAGAATAATAGTCTTTTATAAAAACACAGTTTCTAAAGTAAAACAAAACTTTTCTATGCTCAGTTAGTAAAAAGAAGAGATTTAGACCTAACTGCTAAGGCAAATCTCTAAAGTCGGTAGATTTTATCTACAAAATAGAAGAGTTGGTTAAAATTCATTTATTCTATCTACAGATATTTACGAAGCACTGCGCTAAAGCAAAATTAGGGAATGAAGAAAATCTCTGCCTTTCCAATATACAATTTGTGTGACTCTCTGGAATCGTTGGTTTGTAACCTTTGTGCTAGAGAAAAAGCCCATGCCTTCCCATTCCTGAAACATTAAACATGTTACCAAAATACTGTAAACACACTGCTTCCTTTTAAAAGTGAATATATTTAATTCAACATTTCAATAGGAACTGAATAATATTAAAAACAAGCATTATTAGTTGCTTTAAAAAATCCATATTCATTTTTAGTTTCCTTTGCAGAGGGTTTGTTGATTGCTAGCTCTCTACAGCAAACTTGTGCTAGAAAAATGTCTTCACAAGACAGAAATTCTCTTAATGCAAGTCTAAAATGCTTTCAAGGAACTAAAAGTTTTAGAGACCCAAATCAGAAATACTGAATATTAGACCTATATCATTTGAATCCTAAACGTTTGACATACTAAACATTACATATTTTTTAGAAAGATGGTCAACAAATAACTCAGCATTTTCTAGAGACTGGCACCCCTGATCGTCACAACTATTATAGAAGCACCTGGCTATGGTTCATCCCCTACCACCTTCTGTTCTAGATCCTTCTTGGCTTCTACTGGGCACCTCCGAAGGCACTGTGAGGAAACAGGTGCAGAGATGGATGCCCATTTCTCCTGAGGTCGCTTCTGAGAAAGCAATTAGTCAACTAGAAAGGTATATAATCCATGACTTATGATCCCCACAAGGCCTCACTCAATTTGAAAAATTGCCAGTTCTGTCAAATATGCCAACACTCCAATAAGGTACTTATGACACAGAATCTGAAAAGAAAAAAAAGGACATTTAAAATAGAATTATGATAATAAAGCAGTTTGTATTTGATAAATATTCCAGGCTTATTTTAAATTCCCTATCTGCAAGCTAAGATATGAATATGAAACCAAAGCATTGCTGTTCCAAGTCAAATTTTATCTAATGAAGTCTTTAATAAATTTACAACAATGATCAATGTTACTTAAAAGTAATTAGACTAGGGTTCTTATTTATCCTGAGTTCTATGCTTGGGCTAACTCTCTGCCTAAGGAGGGGAGGAAAGGCATCTCTGAACCCCTTGAACTTATATACACAATGAGTATCTACATTTTCTAGAAGGAGGTTCCATAGCTTCCTTCTCCTCAAAGATATATATTTATATATATATAGATAGATAGATAGATAGATAGAGATATATATATATAAATTCCAAAAGTATCTTGTAGAAACAAAGTAGATGGTAGAAACCTGGCTAATTAAAATTAAGGTATGTTAAATTCCTAGCACAGTGACAAAGCCAGTAATCACTGTTTATGGTGGTTATATATTAATATATTTTAAATATTTTAATATACTTGAGGGCCTACTTTCAATTGGTTTTTGATACTTTCTCTAATAAGGACTTTATAAACAGTAAAACAATATCTCTATTACTTCTTTTCCAGCAGGGATAGAAAAGCCTAAAATATGAAGACGATTATCTTAGTTATGTGTTTCTGGCTATAATTTCCTTATCTAACAAAATCCATCTGATTAATTATGTCAAAGTTTGACAAGAAATTATTTTGAAAGTTTCAAAGTTACTACAGAGTAATTAGTATTATTTCCAAAATCTGTAGCACACAACACATAGTATGCTTACATAATAAAGCTGAACCAAGCTCTGGCCAGGATTGTGGATCATCCTGTACACTGAAAAGCTGCTGGTTCGATTTCTTATCATAGCACATGCTCAATCCCCAGTAGGGGGCATGCAGGAAACAGCTGGTTAATATTTTGCTCTCACATTGATGTTTCTCTCTCCCTCTCCCTTCCTCTCTAAGAATCAATTTTTTTTAAAAAAAGCTGAATCAAAAAGGTTAAAATTTTTTATAAATATTTTATAAAGCATAAAATAAAATCTACTGGCAGACATTCAATGTATTTAGTCCACGTGGAAAATGCAATCACATATATTTTGAAAACTGCAACAATAAGAAAAATTACTTAACTAGATTTGTTCAAACTAACCTTTATTTTTCCATTAGTATGTGCTGAAGCTACTGATGTTGAAACGCGAACCAATCTTGTGGCTGATAAGTGAATTTTGAAATGCCTATGGAAATGTGAACAAAGGCAGTCCATGAACAAGTCAACTTCCTCCTGGGTCACTTCCCCAGGGGCTTTGTGGACACTGTCCCACAGAGCTTTTGCATCCTCCGAATGTATGGCATAAGCAATATCCAGACTTTGAGGGCCGCACGGTACAGACCAGAGAAATTCAGTAGTGGCCACATAGTGGTCCATTCTGCATGCAGTCCACATAGCTGCCATCCAGGAAAGATTAAATGCATTGATTGCTAAGGGACTGAAATGACAGTCAAAAGTTTTCTGAAACCAGGTTCCAATTAAGGCGGTATTAGTCTCTGCTCCATTTGCAAGAAATAAGGGTAGACAGGTGAAATCTTCTGAAACAGTCTCCAAAAGATTGTCTCCAAATATACAGCAGAACCACCCAGTCCACAACACTTTGCCTTCTCTGTTCTCAGATGGCAAGTGAGATTTTGACAGAATCTACAAAGAAAATAGGTTCGTTGAGTTGAAAAGTACATTTACTCCGAAATTACATCACCTCAAATTTAATTAGTACATTTAAAACTGAGAAGATACTATATTACTTATGAAAAAACAAAGAACAGTATCCCTAATCATTATTAGGGTTCATCAGATTCACTGACCTTTTTCCTAATATTCTTATGCACGAGAGACATGGTATATGGCAAGATCTTTGTACAATCAAAATGCAAAACAAAGAATACCAATATGGTACAACCAGGTACAGTATGGGGGGGGGGGGGGACCTCAACTTTAGGAGCAGTAAAAGGTCACCAAATGCAATGTGCTAGAACTATAAGCATGTGCTCAGGTGAGGATTTTAGTAGGGCTTCATTTATTTAGATACATTTTAAATATTGAAAAGTTTAACACTGAAAAGCAAAATGAGCCCAGCCAGTGTGGCTCAAGGGTTGAGCATTGACCTATGAACCAGGAGGTAAAGATTTGATTACCCGTCAGGGCACGTACCTGGGTTGTGGGGCTGATCCCCAGTAGAGGGTGTGCAGAAGGCAACCGATCAATGGTTCTCTCTGACCATTGATGTTTCTATCTTCCTCTCCCTTCCTCTCTCTGAAATCAATAAATATATATATATATTTTTTAATTTGGTTCAGTGGATAGAGCATCAGCCCGCAAACTGAAGGTCCAGGTTCAATTCTGGTCAAGGGCATGTACCTTGGTTGCAGGTAACCCTGCACTGGTCAGGATGCATGTAGGAAGCAACCAATTGATGTGTCTCTCCCTCTCCCCTTCCACTCTCTCTAAAAATCAATGAAAAAATACTCTTGGGTGAGGGTTAACAACAACAAAAAATAAAAAAGTTTCTGAGTCTCAGAAAGTTTCATTAAAGATTTACACGGGGCAGGCATCCTGTTGGCCCTTCCCATTTTCCTTCTAATTCCTGTCAGAAATTTGCATATATCTAGAGCTCCAAGAGCCGTCTTAGACTATAAAGTCACCTTAAGGATGGAAGCCACACACCAACTATGAAAGAGAAGAGAGAAGGGGCCTATTATTAATAACTAGAGACCTGGTGCATGAAAATTCATGCGTTGGTGGAGGGGGGAACATCGTTCAGCCCAGCCTGCCCCCCTCACAGTCCGGGAGCCCTCAAGGGTGGGAGTTGACCCAGCGATCAGGGGAAGGTGACGCCTCCATCACACCTCTGCTGCTGCTACTGCCGACAGTGCAAGCCGTGGCCAGCCCTGGTTACCTGAGCCTCGGGCAGCCCTGGGTGGCTGGGCTGCCGCCATCTGAAGCTTGCCTGCGCCTGGGGCTGGTCCTGGGTAACTGGGGGGGTGAAGTGATTGGAGGACTCTGGAGGCAGGCCCGACCTTGCCACGCCTGTCACCCCAATGGGACTGAGAGGACTGGGTGCCGGCATCTTTGAGGGTGGGACAGTCAATTAGCATATATTCCCTCTTCATTGGCTTTGGGCGCCACTTTGCGACGGTGTGAGTTAATTTGCATATTCCCTTTATTAGATAGGATATCATAAAGCATATATATACCAGCCTTGAATAGCTTACCTACATACACCTCTTTAGAAGATAAATAAAGTTAAATTTCCTGTTATTTACCGTATTTTCCGGCGTATAAGACGACTTTTGAAACGAAAAAAAAGCCTGCTCAGATTGGCCAGAGTCAGAGAGGCGGTCTATTAAAAAAAGAACTGGTGTTGCCTCAGAAGTGGGGGGGGGGGGTGTAGTCTTATACAGCGAATATAGGCCTAAACCTATGTTTTAACTGTAAAATTAGGGGGTCGTCTTATACGCCCGGTCGTCTTATACACCGGAAAATACGGTAAGCTTTCTGTCATATGCAGCTGAATCTAATCCTAGACATCTTGAGATCTGTGCAAATACCATGACCTATATATACCATGGCTCAGCAAACTTCTTCTGTAAAGGTCCAAATAGTAAATATTTTAGGCTTTGTGGGCTATAGCAAATACTCAGCTTTGAAACTGTAGCACAAAAGCGCCATAGAAAATTCATAAACAAATGAAAGGGGCTGAAACCAGTTTGGCTCAATGGACAGAGTGTTGGCCTGCGGACTCAAGGGTCCTGGGTTCGATTCCAGTCAAGTGCATGTACCTCGGTTGCAGGCACATCCCAGTAGGGGGTGTGCAAGAGGCAGCTGATCGATGTTACTCTCTCAACGATGTTTCTGGCTTTCTATCCCTCTCCCTTCCTCTCTGTAAAAAATCAATAAATATATATATATATTTATTTTTATTTTTTTTTTAAATGAAAGGGGCTCTGCTCCAATAAATTCTGTTACAGAAATAAGCTGTGGGTCAGACTTGGCCATGCAGTCCATGGTTTGCTGACCTCTGATATATAACAAATAAACAAATTAGGTCTGTTCAACTGTTTCAGAATTTCATTTATCAATGACTAAGATGATAAATGAGATAGATGTAACAGGAATGAATAAAATTCAGTTTCTGAATAAAGCAAAAATTGGTTCTATTACTTTTATACACTGCACATAGGAAGGAATGTAAAAGGTTACATTTCTGAGAGTAATTTGATCTGTATCACAAAATGTAAAAATAAGTTACTTTTTAAAAAATATATTTTTTTATTGATTTCAGAAAAGGGAGAGGGAGAAATATCAATGATGAGAATCATTGATCGGCTGCCTTCTGCACGCCCCCATACTGGGGATCGAGCCCATAACTCAGGCATGTGCCCTGATAGGGAATGGAATCGTGACTTCCTGGTTCATAAGTCACACAACCATCATGCTGGGCTAAGTTACATATTTTGTTGTTAACATTGTACTTCTAGGAATTTAATCCCAGTAAAAACCATAAACCTGTAAAATTCCTAATGATATGAGTAATTATCTTCAACATTTATTATTAGTAAAAAAGCCATAATGCAAACAGTAGGGCAATATGATCCCAATTTTAAATAAGGATAGCTAAATGGATGTATCTATGTTCATGAGAGATATTGATTTGTAGTTTTCTTTTGTTATAGCGCACATGTGTCAAACACAAGGCCCGCGGGCCAAATCCGTCCCGCCAGGCCTTGCAATGTGGCCCGCACCACGCTGTCATCACTGCACTCCGCTGCGTTTCCATCACAATGACAGTTTATGACTGTTCAGTAAACCATTCGGCCCGCGATTTAGGCTGGATTTTAGATTTTGGCCCCTTCTCTGATTGAGTTCGACACCCCTATTATAGCGTGTTAATCTGGTTTTGATATTAGGGTAATGCTGGCCTCACAGAATGGGTTAGAAAGTATTCCCTCTGCTTCTATCCTCTAAAAGAGAATGTAGATAATTGGTTTATTTTCCTCAAGTGCTTGGTATAATTCCCAGTGAACCTATCTGGGCCTGGTACTTTCTATTTTGGAAGGTTATTAATTACTGATCCAATTTCTTTAATAGATATAAACCTATTAAGATCGTCTACTACCAAAAAGATGTATACCAAGATATTGAACTGTGGTTTTTTAACTTTTTTTGTACTTTATGTATTTTTAGGTTTTCTAAAATACACGATTATACAGGGCGGGGCAAAAGTAGGTTTACAGTTGTTCATATGGAAAATACAATAATAAATGATAATACAAGAATACACTGTTTCACTACTCACAACTGTAAACCTACTCTGAAATAATAATAAAAACTATTTTTTAAGTTGGTAATTATCTACTTTAAATTTGGTCAAATAAGACATAAGAAGTTATAAATCACAAGCTTAAGAATTTCAAAAACAGCCAAAACCGGTTTGGTTCAGTGGATAGAGCGTCTGCCTGTGGACTGAGAGGTCCCGGGTTCGATTCTGGTCAAGAGCATGTACCGTGGTTGCAGGCACATCCCCAGTAGGGGGTGTGCAGGAGGCAGCTGATCGATGTTTCTCTCTCATCGATGTTTCTAACTCTCTATCCCTCTCTCTCCTCTCATCTCTGTAAAAAAAATCAATAAAAATTTAAAAAAAAAAAAAAAGAATTTCAAAAAACAGTAAGAATTAGCAAAATGTCCAAACCAAGACAATGCAGATTCTTTTCCCTAGCACACAAGTATTGCCTATATACTATACCTGGACGAGAAATGCATCAGGGTCCCTTTGTGTTCCTTTCATTCCCAGGAGAGTAGAGAAAATCACCTTGATGTTCAAGTCTTCTCCCACTTCCACAGCAAGTCCTTTTTGTTTTTCAGCAACAATAAACGCACTCAGAAATTTAGAGTATTCTCTGAGATTAGTGTAGGAGAACTTATACAGGGGAGTTAAACTATACAGAGTCCATTGCTTATGTAGAAGGAATGCAACCTTTTGAGGATCAACATCTTCCTAAAAATAAAATAAATAAAATCACAGCAAATGAGGTTTAAAAATTAGGAAACTTTAGTAAATAAGAATTTAATCATAGTATATTAAGTATTTAATACAATACAAATCTAAGGTGATCTCTGCACACCAGCCAAACGTGTTTGCAGGACTCTGAAGGTCTTTGAACAGGTCTTTGCTTTTGGTGTACCTTCTTTTAGAATGCTCTCCCACAGGTGTTCACTTGGCCTGTCCCCTTCCTCCAATCAGGTCTCTGCCTAAATGTCACTCAAAAGGCCACTGTACCTAAAGTAGCACCTGCACCCACTCCAACTTGTTACTCTCTAACTCCTAACATGCTTTATATTTATTACTATCTGATATTATATACTAGAGGCCTAGTGCATGAAAATTCGTGCACTTGGAGGGGGTCCCTCAGCCCAGCCTGCACCCTCTTGCAGACTAAGGGTCCTCGAGGGAGCGGGCTTAAGCTGAAGTCTGGCCTCCCTCTGTGGGAAGCGACCAATGGGCCAATCAAGGGACGGCACTGGCAGGTGAGCGGCCAGCCCTGCCCCCCAATTGCCCCTCTGCCACCGCCAATCACCGCCGCCCCTCCAATCACCATCCCCTCCCTCTGGCCACTGGCACCTGCCTTGGCTAACCTGGAGCCAACCACTCGCTGGCCCCGCCCCTGCCAACTGATTGTCCCACCATTCAGTCAATTTGCATATTAGGCTTTTATTATATTGGCTGTGTGTGATTTTTACTATTTTTCTTACTGGAGTATCAGTTTGATGAAATCAGGAATTCTATTTTTTTCACTACTACCTTCTAGCACTCAGAACAGGGCCATCTAGAACAGGTGTTCAAAAATATTAATGGATGAATTTTATGTTTCACTTGTAGAAAAGTTATAGATTTTGAAAACAGTAATTATTCTTTGAGCAACTAATTTTATTGGATTTAATTACTTTTTTAAAAGTGTCTGGCAGTAAATCCATCCTATGGCACAAAGCCTAATTCAGTAAATTAAAAAGATACCTGGAAGTATTTTTGCCATCCTCTATTAAGAACCACAGGTACCATCAAAAACAAAAGCCCTAGCTAGTTTGCTCAATTCAGTCAGGGGCATATGCCCAGGTTGTGGGCCTGATCCCCAGTAAGGGGTGTGCAGAAGACAGCCAATCAATGATTCTCTCTCATCATGGATGTTTCTCTCTATTCCTCTCTCCTTCCTTTCTGAAATCAATAAAAATATATTTATTTTTAAAAAATAACACTTTACCTATAGTAGCACTATGTCATTACTGAGCAAGAGTCTTCAGATACTCTATGGCTTCTAGTTTTATCCTGAATTGAATTTTTCTATACAATTCATACTTCCTGAGATAGTCTCACCACTATCTTTTAGAACTTTCACTCGTTGTCTACTTACAAAAACATTTGCTCAGACAAAATTACTCATGGAAATAGTTATTAACTTTTATATAAAAGTTGTAACGTTTTTTCTTATTAGGCAAAAGTCATAGCAAAATTACTTGTATCATAAACATATATTGTACTGAATTGGACATTCCAAACTTTAATTAACATACAGTTTCTGTTTACTGGTTAGGAACCATCACTTTCATTAGCAGCACTAGTAATTTTTCTTTAAGAAAGTTTTCACAAAGAAGCAAAACTTTTCTCATATCCCAAAAGATACTGTGCACACAATAGTGTTAAGAAAACAAAGTTACTAGGAAGGTCTGAGTGACTGATAGCCAGGTTCCTAGCTAAGTGACTCAAAATCACACATCAAACTGCCTAGGGCAGTGGTTGGCAAACTCATTAGTCAAAAGAGCCAAATATCAACAGTACAAAGATTGAAATTTCTTTTGAGGCCACAAAGTTTCAATCTCTCTGTACATGCGCACCTGCACATGGTATTTTGTGGGAGAGCCATACTCAAGGGGCCAAAGAACCGCATGTGGCTCTCGAACTGCAGTTTGCCAACCACTGGCCTAGGGCCAGTAAAGTTACAAATTAATGTTTTATACTGTCTGGGTCATGTGCAAATGATCAAAACAGAGCATGACCAAAACTGGTTTGGCTCAGTGGATAGAGAGTCGGCCTGCGGACTGAGGGGTCCCAGGTTCAATTCCGGTCAAGGGCATGTACATTGGTTGCGGGTACATCCCCAATAGGGGTTGTGCAGGAGGCAGCTGGTAGATGTTTCTCTCTCATCGATGTTTCTAGTTCTCTATCCCTCTCCCTTCCTATCTGTAAAAAATCAATAAAATATGTTTAAAAAAAAAAAAGAGTGTAAATCCTAAGTTCTCATCACAAAGAGAAAACTTAAAAAAAAAAAAAAAAAAAAAAAGAGCATGATGCCACCAGATAAATCTAAGCCAATTTAAACAGCAAAATAACTTGGTAATTAATTATAAAAATATGAAAAACAGGGATTCGTGAGTTCAAGTCTCCAATAAATAAATAAATAAGTAAATAAGTAAATAAATAAATAAATAAACAGAGGAGGAAAGAGAAGGGCTTAAAATAGAATTCCAAAATCTGACTGGTAAATACGTAGTAAAGGGAGATTGGAAAGTCATTATTTTGCAACCATCATGATAAAGATGGGGCAGGCAAAAATTATCAATGGATATTAAGTCCAGGGGGAAATTTTGATGAGGAACATGGTATTTGCATTATTTTAAAGTGTCTCCCAACAGAATGCTTATTAGTTGCAGAGGGAACTAAAACAGTAATTATTAGGCAACACCTTGATAAGGTGATCAAAATTAACATTAACTACGTGGTACCAGATGTCATTCCCCCAGGACACAGTAGTACCTACCGTATTTTTCGGACCATAAGATGCACCGGACCATAAGACACACCAGTTTTTAAAGAAGGGAAATGAAGAAAAAGATTCTGAAACAAATAGTGTCCTAAAATATTTTATGTGCATTAAAACCCAACATCACAGTCATAAACACATGTAATCAACCCTGTAAAGTAAACAGCAGCATTTAGATCTATTTTAGAGCCGGGCAAGCACACAGAGACCACACAGAGCCGGGCAAGTAAAAAAACTTTTTTTTTAAAGTATATGTGTAGGCTATATTTGGACCATAAGACGCAGGGACTTTTTCCCCCCACTTCTGGGGGGGAAAAAGTGCGTCTTATGGTCCGAAAAATACGGTATATAGTATCCCAGCCAAGAATACACAACTTCAACCTCCTAATTGTGAGGAAATAGCAGACAAATACAAAATGAGGCATATTCTATTTTTAAAAGTAAGAGAAAACTATACTCTTCAAAAATGTCAATGTCGTAAAAGACAAAGAAATATTGTGGCAATGTTCCAGATCAAAGGGCTTTAAAAGACATAACAAAGGAGGTACTTACTTTCTTTTTGCTGTTTCTCATTTATTTTATTACCTGAAGGATGGAGAAACTACTGAACGTACTAGAAATAGTAACAAAAAATGAGATGTTTTGTTCACATCTATTCTCAATTATTGAGGAACACAAAAAGCATACCTGCAACTGTGAACATTGGGGAATTTTCCTTTGAGGTGAAGGCGGGACAAATGAAGTCAGCTTCCTGACTGATTCCAACCGCTTCTGCAGTGGGGTGGCACCTATAAAGTGATCTTTAAGCCTTGAGGATGTTGATTCTGGGATGTCATAAGAATCCATGGTCTACATAAAAAGAAATAAAACCAGAATTCTAAACACAAACAATTCTAACTCAAGCTCACAGTTACAATGCTTTCTCTGCTCATTATAAAGGAGTTCTTTCTCACCCTTCCCCTCCCTGCTTCCCATTTTGACTTTTTAACCAAGTCCAGTATTTCTCCTTGGCCACAGGCTATTTTTATGAATATGACAGATAACTCAGACAATATTCTGTCAATATTCCAAGTTAACTTAAACTCATTAAAGTAGTCTCCCATTTTCATTCTTTAACATGCAGTCCTTAAACACATTCTATTGAGAATTTCCTTTAACAGTCTGTCCCCTATTCCCAGAGCTACTTCCTTAGCCAGATTCTATTACCACAACTAACCCTTTCTTCCATATCTAAAGGTAATCATCCTTCAGAAATGGCACTTTATTGTTAGATACCTGTGCAAAAACCTTTATAGTGATTAAATGAACTCTACTCTTCTGCTCTGTACTTAAAAATCTTTTATAATTCAGCAGTCCTTATCTTCCTACTTTCCCTAGATATACACATATTCTTATCTTCGTGTTTTTGCCTATCAACTATATTCCTTAACTAGAGTGTCCTTTTTCCATTTCACCATTTTTGAGATTATGCTTCAATCCAATCCAATTTCAAGTAAGTTAGGGTTTTATTAACCTTGTTTCCCAAAACACATGCTATATACTTCTGTCTATATCAGTGGCTCCCTCATTTCTAGAAGGGAAGGAAGGGAAGAAAGGGGAGCTGGGGGTGGGTGCACGTGTATACAAAGAGCTATCAGAGTAAGTAAATATTTTTAAAAGCCTTAAGGTCCTCCTGTGAATTCCAAAGCAAGTTCCCCTCTGGCCAGCCCAATATGTTAGCCCAGGGTGCCGTGACCACACAAGCAGCATCCGTGCATGCAGCAGCTGTGTGAACAGCCCACCCCTGTCCAAGGAGCAGCAGCTGTGGGAGCAGCCTGCCCACACCAGTCAGAGGAGCCACCACTGCTGCGAGCAGCACCCACCTGAGGAGCTGCCGCCAACTGAGAAGCAGCAGCTGCCACCTGAAGAGAAGCCCCCCCCCCACCATGACTTAACACCTAGATCCTTCAGTGAGAGCAAAAATGGGGAGACAAAGAAACCCCCAAAAATAAGAAAAGGAGGAATCATCAGAAAAGGAGCTAAGTGAAACGGAGGCATGCAATATGCCAGAAAAGGAATTCAGAAAAAGGGTCATAAACTGGATGAAAAAAATAAACAACTTATGTAAGAATCAAGAAGAAAGAGTGATAGAGAGAAACCAAGATAGTGGCAAAGGTAAATGCCTAAACTGCCGCCCCATACAACAATTTCAAAACTACAATTAAAAGACAAAATGTCTATCACCCAGGACCACGGGAAAGCAGGCTGAGTGGAAGTTCTACAAGAAGGAAAGAGGTAAGAGCACAAGTGCTGAAAAGCTGAGGTACAGAGAAACGTGAATGTGCTGCTTTTTTTCAACCTGAAGGGAAATAAGCTCCCGATCACTCTGAAATCGTTTCTGGGGAGACACCTACAGGGAGAAGCTGGTCTGTCGGCCAACAGGTTGGAAAGTGAGGGTGACTTTTTTGCAGAGGTGCACCCAGCAATCATTGTTTACTGCGCTGGAGCGCGGGACACGCAGACTTGGAAACAAGGAAAGGCAGAGAAGACTAATGGCAGCCATCGCTGTTTGCCCCGCTGTAGCCTAGTGACACCCTGAGACTCCACCCTGCACAATCTACAAACACACCCAAGCTCCACACAGACTTTTGCATATAAAATGGTCTGCCCTATAGCAGTTTAACCAAATAAACTGCAGCTCCAGTAAGACAGCTCCAAAAAGTTTCAACAGTAGACTAGGAGAAGCAGAGGACCAAATAAGCAAATTAGAAGACAAGGAAGCAAAACACACCCAAAACTGAACTGCAGTTGGAGGGGAAAAAAAATTAAAAGACAGGAGGAGAGCCTAAGGGAGCTTTGGGACAACATGAAATGAAGCAACATACAAATAAGGATGCAAGAATGACAGGAAGAGGAACAAGGGTTAGAAAACCTATTTGAAGAACTAATGTCAGAAAACTTTCCTGGTGTAGAGAAAAAACACAAGCACAGAGAGTCCCAAACAAGATGAACCCAAAAGGCCCACACCAAGCATGTCAATTATGATGGCAAACATTCAGGACAAAGATAGAACCTTTTTTTTTTTTAAGATAGAATCTTAAAGACTGCAAGGGAGAGACAGAAAATTACATACAAGGGGAACTACCATTAGATTATCAAATGCTTTCTCAACGGAAACACATCAGGCCAGAAAGGAATAGAAGGAAGTTTACAAAGTGATGCAAAGCAAGGGCTGAATCCAAGAATACTCTATCCAGCAAGGCTATCATTCAAAGTTGGAGAAATAAGGAGCTTCACAGACAAAAAAAAAAAAAGGCTAAGGGAGTTTATCACCACCAAGTCAGCAATGCAGAAAATGCTAAAGGGACTTGTGTAAAAAAAAGAAATAAGAAGGAACACGGGCACAAAAAAAATTAAAATGGCTACAAAGAAGTACCTATTAATAACTTTAAATGTAAACCAAATAAATGCTCTAATTAAAAAACATCGAGTAGCTGAATGGATAAGAAACATGATCCATTTATATGCTATATACAAGAGAACCGCCTCAGAATAAGGAACTCACACAGACTGAAAGTGAAGGGATGGAAAAATATTTTCCAGGCAAATGGAAATTGAAAAAAAAAAAGCTGGGGTAGCAATACTTATATCTGACAAAATAGACCTCAAAGTGAAGACCATAACAAGAAATAAGGAAGGTCATTTCATAATACAAAAGGGATCAACACAACAAGAGGATATAACCCTGATAAACATATATGCACCCAATGCAGGAGCACCCAAATACATAAAAAAAATTCTGGAAGATATCAAGGGAGAAATCAACAATACAATCATAGTAGGGGACTTCAATACCTCACTGGCATTACTGGATAAATCTTCTAGACAAAAAAATCAGCAAAGAAACTGCTATCCTAAATATCTCACCAGATCAGATAGACTTAATTGACATCTTCAGAACATTTCACCCCAAAGCCACAGAATATGCGTTCATCTGAAGTGCACATGGGACATTTTCAAAGATAGACCACATATTGGAACACAGGCAAAGCCTCTCCAAATTCAGACAATTGAAATTATATCAAGCATTTTCTCAGATCACAATGGCATATTAGAAATAAACTACAATAAAAACAATCAAAAAAATTCAAACACTTGGAAATTGAATAACACGCTATTGAACAATGATTAGGTTACCAAAGAGGTCAAACAAGAAATTAAAAACATCCTGGAAACAAATGACAATGAAAACACAACAATCCAAACTCAACATGGATAAAGGACTTAAAAACATAAGATTGGAAACCATGAAAATACTAGAGGAATCCACAAGCAGCAAAATATCAGACATATGCTGAAAGAACTTCTTCACCGATACTACTCCTAGGGCAATGGAAGCTAAAGAGAAAATAAACAAATGGGACTACATCAAAATAAAAAGTTTTTGCATAGCAAAGGAAACCATCAATAAAACAACAAGAAAGCCCACTGCATGGGAGAACATATTTGCCAACAATATCAACGATAAAGGTTTAATCTCCAACATTTACAGGTAACTCATGCAGCTTAACAAAAAGAACATAAACAACCCAATCAAAGAATGGGCAACTTTCAACATAATAAAAGCTATATATGATAAACCTGCAGCAAACATCATACTCAATGGGCAAAAACTAAAACCATTCCCTCTAAGAACAGGAACAAGACAGGGATGCCCACTCTCACCACTTCTGTTTGACATAGTACTAGAAGTACTAGCCATTGCAATTAGACAGGAAGAAGAAATAAAAGGCATCCAAATTGGAAAAGAAGAAGTAAAATTCTCTTTATTTGCAGATGACATGATATTGTACATAAAAAAAACAAAAGACTCCATCAAAAAACTAATAGATTTAATAAATGAATTCAGCAATGTAGCAGGATACAAACTTAACGCCAAGAAATCTATGTTATTTCTATACACCAATAGTGAATTTACAGAAACAGAGACTAAAAAAAGCAATCCCATTTACCATCACACCAAAAAACTTAAGATACCTAGGAATAAACTTAACTAAGGAGGTAAAAGACCTATACTCGGAAAACTACACGACACTGAAAAAAGATAGAGGAAGATGTAAACAGATGGAAGAACATACCATGTTCATGGATTGGTAGAATCAACATAATCAAAATGTCCATACTTCCTAAAGCAATCTATAGGTTCAATGCACTCCCCATTAAAATACCAACAGCATATTTCACAGACCTAGAAAGAACTCTCCAAAAATTCATCTGGAACAAAAAAAGACCCCGAATAGCCACAGCAATCCTGAGAAAGAAAAATAAAGTAGGAGGTACCTCAATACCAGATTTCAAACTGTATTACAAAGCCACTGTTCTCAAAACAGTCTGGTACTGGCACAAGAACAGACATATAGACCAATGGAATAGAATCGAGAACCCAGATATCAACCCAAATCACTATGCTTAATATTTGACAAAGGAGGCACGAACATACAATGGAGTCAAGACAGTCTCTTCAATAAACGGTGTTGGGAAAATTGGACAGATAGATGCAAAAGAATGAAACTAGATCACCAACTTACACCATACACAAAAATAAACTCAAAATGGATACAAGACTTAAACATAAGACAGGAAACCATAAAAATACTAGAGGCATCCACAGGCAGCAAAATCTCAGACATATGCCAAAAGAACTTCACTGGTGCTGCCCCTAGGGCAATGGAAGCTAAAGAGAAAATAAACAAATGGAACTACATCAAAATAAAAAGCTTTTTTACAGCAAAAGAAACCATCAACAAAACAACAAGAAAGCCCACTGTATGGGAGAACGTATTTGCAAATGTTATGACTGATAAAGGTTT